CGTCAGGCGGTCGACGAGCTCACGTACAGTCAAAGACAAAACTTTCTTAGAGCCATCGCCAGTGACAAGGCGCTGGTCCTCCACAATGTAGCTGACTTCAAACCCGAAGGACTTCTCATGGTGGTTCAGCGTGAATTCTGACATGGGACTCAAGGACAAGTTGCCAACGTTGTGGCTGATTATGGCGCTGGCGTCCGGATAGAGGCCGCCCATTCTTGTCTTGCCGGGAGTCTTGATGATGAAACTCAGACTCTTCTCTTGGTTCTTGGGAGAGACATAGCTCAAAGCACTGTTCTCGCCCAGGATACTGACTTGGCGCTCGTCGGCATTATCGCCAATTACACTGTCCTCTTCCCTTTCGTCAATTCGGGAGACGGGCCGTGGGACGAACGACTGGCCGCGGAGCGAGAATTGTCGTGATGGACCACGAGCTGGGGCTGTGCGTGGGCGGGGTTGCAGTAAAGTCCGGCGTGCGGTCTTCGTCAAGCTTTGGTATTTGCCTCGTTTGGACTCCTCAATCATCGAGTCCGCATCCACAAAACTGCCCTCGTCATCCTCGAGGCTATCGATATCCTCAGCGGCAACATCCTGTATGATAGAGGCGATGGGCGAAGAAAATGATATCGTCATTCGTCTCCGGGACGGAGAGGAATCAATGATGCGATCCTCGTCGAGCTGGATCTCATGCTCAACATCTCCGTCTCCTGCCTTGCTTTCAAGCTTGTGGAACTCAGTTCTTGCCTGCAACGCAATATCCCGAGGCAGTGCTGCATCGGGTGACAGCGTCACAAAGCCTCTGCCGGATGAGCTCCGAGGCGTGTCCATGGAGCCCTTGGGTGATTGTGTCATGTTTGCCTCCCGCTCTTCAGCCTCCTTCTGTGCTGTCACCAATCGCAAGTGTAGCATCTCTTTCGTGATATCGACGGACAAGTCGGGGATGCTTGCGAAGGGGTCGTCTTCACTATCTTCGGACGGAATGACAACATGCGCACTTCTAGGTCGAATGCTCTCGCCCCTCCGTTTGATCCAAATGTTTTGGTGGCGATCAAGATACATGCTGCCAACTTGGTCCGGTATCAGATGCGACACACTCTGTGGCGCAATCGTCTTCCTTGACTCGGAGCCTCGAGAGGAACCAGTGTGCATTGTACGGTTGGTAGATGCCCCAGATGAGTGAGTAGCGAAATCGTCAGACTCGATGGAGCCATCTCGTTGTCTATTCGGGTTCGCGGAGATACGAATGTTGGGGGGATCGCTGATGGTTTCATCTCCTCCAAGATACTGGAGATCATCAAGGTTGTTTCTAGAGCGACTGCTCTCTTCGATCTGGCGCTCAACCTGCTGCGCAGCCCGGATGGCATCTTGAGCTTGATCCATAGATCTAAGCGAAGATGTGATGACGTCTCCCATGTCGCTCAGCTCCTGGTACTTCTTGAGGTAGTCAAGAATCTCTGGATTCTCCTGGCGCTGCGGTGCTCTTTGCACTGGCTTTCCTTCACGACTCGGAGGTCGGGACAATGGTTCCCTGGTCGATTCGTATGAGTCGTCGGAAGCAGGGCTAGGCTCGCCATATTCGGCATCGGATTCCTCCACACTAGTCAGGCCGCTAGGGGCCTTCACGCCATTTCGGATCATGGCCATGATCTTGCCAGCCTCATCCAGGAAGTCCTGAGTTCTGATAGACGGCTTACGGTCTGTGTCGACTGTAGCACTGCGGTCATTTCCACTGGATGTGAACGGAGATGCACGGTGAGGGGTGCGTCGTATGGGCTGCTCTTCGTCTTCGGCGTAGTCCTCAAGCAAATTATCCTGAAAGGGAAACTCGCCAGCTTGCAGGGAAGACCTCGAGCTTGGGGTCGGAGTTCGTGGCCGTAGCATATGGCGCGTGGCCAGCACGCTGGGATGTGCTCTTTGTTGCAGACTGCCTGGCCGGGCGTCTTTGCGCTTCTTGCCCATCATGCTCTGCATCAAAGCATGGGTTTCCTGGACGGTGTCTAGGAGTGCGTACCGCTCTTCCCTCCCATACGCAATATCCGACTTGTGCAACGTCCTCCTCCGCTTCGGCGTCGGGTCCTTCGATGGTGAGGTGCGTGGTCGCTTCCCTTCTGATGCATCACGTTCTTGCGGGGTACCTAGCATAAATGCCTCGGCTCCTGCGAATTGGACGTTTCCTCTTTGAACGCTTCCTTCGCTGGCTGATGGGGTGTGCTTGGAAGACGAGGCAGTCGTAGTGCCAGACTTTGCTCGCTTCCTGGGAACAAACATCGAGGCCTCGTCTGGCACCGGCGAGCCCGCGACTTGCTCGAGCCGTAGGACAGACTCTTCATCATCCGTTTCATGTTCAGATCTTTCGTCGTCCTCGTAGAATTGTGACTCTTCCTCAAGACGGATGGACAAGTCCTGGGTGAACTGGTAGCCTTCGAGGTCGCCCGCACCAAACTGACTCACCGATCGAGAGCTGGTGGCCGTTTGTTGTTTTGGCACGGATAGGTAGTCGCCAGGAGCAGTGTGCGGTCTTCGGTTTCTAGCAGCTGGGGCAAATTCCCCGCTGACAGATTGTCGCGATGACCCAGACGTTTGATCCTCGAATTGACTAATACGACGGAGCAGCGTCTGATTTGTGAATGTATCGTACGGGCCGAACAGTTTCAAAGGACTCGTGCTATTGTTCGTTCCTGCGGTGCCAGGTTTCTCCGGACTCGGATTTGGCACGCGCGGAGGTGGTGGGCTCTGTGAACCAAACCGAATCGAAGTGTAGCCGGGGGAGTACGTTCTTACACTTGGGAACTGCTTGGGCGTGCTAGCCTGAAGAGACTCTTCAGGAAGCATCTCGGACGTGTCAACGCCCATGCCAGGACTGAGACCTCTGTACTTGAAGGATCCATCACCAGATCGGCCACCGCGCCGAGTGTTGAGGAAGCCTCCCTTTCGCGCATACTCCTCGGTCGTCTCTACTCTGTCGCTGTCTCCTTCTTCTACACTGCCGTCCATATCAAAGTTGAGCTCACCCTGTGAGTCCAAAAGCATCTGATCTATGCGTAACCTCTCAAGGCGATTCTGCAGCTGGTCGACGGGGAGTTCGGTTGGTGCAGACTTCTCTCTTGCTTCATTCTCCTTCTGGCGCATCAGCGTGAGGACGATCGGACTGAAATCCTCATTTCGGATGACACTCTGTCCGCTAGTCTTCCGAGAAGCGTCGTTTGGCGGTGCAAGTCCCGAAACAGAAGCCGCCAGACTGGACTCCTGGGCATAAGTATTGTCTTGCTGCGGACTGGCTTGGCTGAGTTGGCTTTGATCGAGAGAGTCGTCGGTCATCTTGTAGGTGATGTGCGGCGCGCGTGGTCTAGGACTCGGGCTCGGGCTTGGGTCCATATGGCTCCTGCCATCTGACTCGTCTTCGTCATCTGGGTGATCCTCGTGCTGGCGGTGGAAGAAGGGAGGGCTGGAGGGCATTGTCTTATTGTGTCGTACGCTTTGATCGGCTATGGAGTTATCTTGGGGGGGAGAAGGCGGCTTGAACATGTTTTCGAGACCTGTGGCTGCAGAACAGAAGAGATCGCGCTGTTCGCCATATGCGACGTCGCCGTAGACCAGCCTGCGCTTCCATTCCGGAGTGTCGCCAGCTCCTCGCAGTGGAGACGACCTGATGGATTTATGATGTACAGTATTATGAATAACAGAGCCATTTGTTGAGGCTGAGAATGCGCGACTTGTCTGACGTGATTGGTCGTTGGGCTTGATCTCGCGGGAAAGCTTCGAGGGTCCCCTTTGGGATAGTGGAAGATTAAACTCATTGGTGCTTCGTTCGCTCAGGACACCGGTACTCTTGTCGCTGTTTCCAGCACTCGAAGGTCGTATCCTACTGACGGGGAGTGGTATGCGACTGCCGGATCCTTTTCCGCTTGGTGTATTGTTATTATCTGTCGGCTTCAGAGGGGGCAGCTGAGCGGGAGAGGTCTCGGATCCAGCTTGCGAGGGCCAGTCCTCGGAGAGGGAGTCGAGCCAAGCATGAGCCATGGTGCGTTGGCGTATGCGATCGGGGTTGAGGGACTTCTGGGACTATAAGCAGTCCATCGAGGGGGTGGTAGATCGTCTTCGTGAGTTAATGTCGCGGTTTGCGGGGTGCTAAGTTTTGGTGGCTTGAATGCGATTGAAGTCTGTTTACGCGGACGATTGCAATGCAGAAGTCGCGCAGGAGAAAATGCAAATGAATAAAATGCAGAATAGCAAGCCGAAGAAAATGGCGAAAAGACTGCTGGCGAAATCGCCTCTGCTGCCTCCGCTGGATGCGGTGACGTTTAGTCGTGATGTGGGAAGAAGAGGTGTTGGGTATTGTTTCGTGGGGAACGCGGTCGAGCGATCGCGTTTGGGACCGGCGTTATGTCAATCTCAAAAGCCCAGTGTTTGAATTTCCCGAATAAACATAACTAATTCAATGTTATGCTTGATTGGCAGGCCGCGGGGTTGCTGTGTCAACCGCCACAGACCAACCTTTGAACCCAGGCCGGGCCATGGCCGTGACCCAAAATTCCCCGATCGTCCGATGGCGCTAATCGTTCTATCGAGTCGCGGGGGTAGCATCTTTTAGTTGCATCGATCTGTTATTTGACTACCTTACAGATGAGGATCCGTGCTCATTGCTTGCGCCACAGTACTAGTCAGCATGGACATCTCCGGCCACCACAGCCGCGATCGCGAGAAGTCAATTAAACACGATATCACGTGTGGACCCGCCGTAGACGCGATTGTTCGTGCTGGGTCGCGTCGTCTGGTGAACGTGCACGGTCGTCGACCAGCCCAATATGGGGCCTCTTTGTCTGTTCATGTTTGTACGGTGCGCTGCATCTGGGGACTCTCGCCTTTCAACGACCGACGACCGCAATCCGGACCACCGCCCGGCGCCAATGCGACCGTAGCGCTTCCGAATTCTCCCCCCTTCGTCCCCGTTCCGTCGCCAAGGTTCATGACTTTTACGACGCAAGTCTCTTAATACAACAACGATGGACACGAAGGATGGCTGGAGAGTCCGACGACTGGACGACGAACCGATGTACTGCCAGGCTCCCTACGACGAATCGGACATCCTATGTGCGAGCTTTGACAACGAAGATCTCGCGACCCTCAAAGAGAGGAAACGCCGATATGAGGAGGCTGCGACTCGGTTTTTGCAGGGGCATACGCCAAGACTGGTATCTACAGTTCTAAGAGGCCCTTTCGAAGGACCAGACGCAAAAGGTTGGGTGAATCCATGGCAGTCGAGGCGGAAACCTGCGTTAGCTGTCACCCCACCAGCACCAACACCTGCTGTCAAAACGACCACGGAAGTCGAAGAAAGTCATGTGGAAGAACTGGATGTTGAGGATGCAGCGTCTTGCCATCTACCGAGCCCGCGAAGCCTGGATCATCCCAACTTGAGCCCACACCCCTTCATGGCAACAGACGAACTGGAACGAGTTGAAGCATGGCGAAATACTACGGAATCTGTCAGCGATTCACAAGAGTCTGCTTGGTCATTAGAGGCCTCTCTTTCACAGCCTCGGTCACAGACACAACGTAAGCGACGGTCAACGGGATCAGAATGGCTTAAGCGGCAAGACATCAAACGACGAAAGGCAGAGGATACGAATGGCATTCGGGCGGGTTCGGCTGCTACCCAGCGCGATAACCCATGCCTGAGCCAAAGTCTAATTCAGGAACAAGGGGACGCCGCCATGGAGGATGAGACCGCAAGCTTGGAGAGCTCTCAAGTAACCCCACAAACCCCTCGCAAGGCTTTAAATTCAAGCGCCAGTCGCTCGCAACAGCAACAACTCACCCAAATATCCAACAATTGCGCCAGTACTACCCAAGACGAGATACCAGTCTCGCTGAGCACTCCGATCCAGACTCCACAGTCCAATAGGAAGGCAGTGGTCAGGAGCGAAGACGTGGCTCCGCCCAGCAATGGCGTCACTGTGGTCATGGAAGAAGATCGTGGTGAATTCGAGACACAGCAGGACGAGAGTTTCTTATTCCGGGCAAGGCCAAGGAACCATGTTCTCAACACCTTGAACTCAAGTCCCTTGAAGAGGATGTCCTACGGCCAAGTTTCTTCCGCCGCTTCCACTTCTTCGAGCGAAAGGGACTCCCAAGGCGAGGTCCAAGATTTGGAGGGTGACACTTACATGGCAGACGACACCAAAGCTACGTCCCCAGGGTCCAGCGAGGGGGTTGGAGACCTGTCTGCCCCAGAGAAGGACACAGCGCAAGGAGGGGATAGCTGCGAGCTTACCTCTCAACCCCTGAGCAGTGGCATAGCCCTCGATGCGATGAAAAGCGACGTGGGCCCCACGAGAATGACAGACGACGAAGTTCCAGAAGTAGTCGAGAGCCTCGATCAGCATTTGCCAGTCGAGACGGCCGCAATAGCAGGAGCCACGGATGTGACATCGAGTCAAGAACCGACGATCGTGGCAATTGCTGCATCACAAGAGCAAGGAGAGGATTTGTCTCTAAAAGAAGCAAACCCAGAGCCGCGAGCGCCGACGCCAGAAATGCAGGCGGCTGCGCCAAAGGAACCCGCAAGCCAAACCTCCAGCTCATTCACGAGCATGCTGCCGAGTCTCTTTCCTCAAAGTCCCTGGTCGAAACTGAGCCAATTCATCATTCCGCGCAGTCCTCGTCCACCTAGCAACACGGATCAGAACCACCAACAACTCACCACTGTCAACATACCCACTGTCGAAGGTTCCAACGCTTCGCAGACACCGGCAACACCACTGACGGCGTCAACTGCGTACACTGTTGAACCTATTGATGCACCTGATCGAACAACTGAACGACCTTCAACATACACTAAGAATAGGGTAGTGGACGCAGCCAGTCTTCACAACAGTCCTGCCGCCGTACCAGCTTCACAACAGAGCCCGTGGAATATGGACGTGCCAGTTATTACTCCGCCTCCGCAGCAGCAACAGCCGAGGGAGAGTGATGCAGCAAGCGCCATCGATCCAAGCTGCCAAAGCCCTTGGACTGCGAGTCCAACCAAAATGCGTCAAGCTGCTCAAGAAGCTCTTATGTCGAAGTTCTTCAATGTTGCCGAACCAGCTTCGCCGTCTCCGCTTCCTCCCGCCGCTACGATGACTCCTGCAGGTCCATCTGTCGCTACTGAACAACTTAACACCGCCGATACGCCAAAGCCAGCTTCGCCTGAGGCTATGTTCTCTATTAAGTCCTTTGCGAATTTCCTGTCTCCATCGCCCGAGAAGCCACGTCGGCGTCTGAATAAGGCTCGCCCCAGTGCCGGTGACCTACCCAGCACACAAAACCTGATCGCCGCTACAACTAATAATCCATGGCAAAGCGTACCAAAGTCAACCAAAAGGGTCAGATGGGCATTACTGCCCAACGAGGTCGAAGGCGAGGAATCTTTGCAGGGCCAAAATCCCCATACGCCTACGATGCAAAGAGCTTCTTCGCCGCCGCCAGAGACCGCAGTAGCTGACTTACCAACCGGTGAAGACGATCAGTACAAGAAGCACTTCCAAGCTGTTTCACTTCGAAAAAAGCTACATCACCACCTCTTACCTTCAGCATCTCAGCAGGTGTTGGAAAGTCCAGGTCCGATGGCCATGGCGGAGGCTTTTGTCTCCGCAGACTCATTCCGAGCACCTCCAGCCCTGGTGGCGACCACGCATGTCGACGATGCCCCACTGGTGCAAGATAATGCCGAGACGCAAGAGTCCGCTATGGATGATGTCGATGACGTTCTTAGTCACTTGAACGAGTTTATCGCAATGGTCGATGTCGAAGCTGATCTCGCGAGAGCTAAGGAGGAAGAGCAGAAGCAGATCGAGAAACAACAACAACAACAACAACAACAGCAGCGAACGAGCCAGCCTGTAAGCAGTGGCCTCGCACGCGGCTTCACTTTTGACGGGATGATGGACGCAGGAGTATGGGATTGAGCGTCTCTAATTAAAGGAGATGCCGTGAACGATGCATCATAACCGGTGAAAGCAAGGAGTAGCCGTACAGGCGGCTTGATTATGCAAAGTCTTATACTAGCGAGGTGTTTGGGGTCATGACAAAATACCAATTGATCGGAAGAACTGCATTGCTTTGCTTGTTCTGCGATGAAAAGGTAGTTGCTACTCAGTCCATTTATTATAGGTAGCGGTTCCTTCTTCAGCAAGAACCAACCCTTGGTCAAATAACAGTAAATCCAGTAACTTCAGCGTCCACTTCTGTCGTGAATGATCACTGGGCTGTTTGTCAGATAGCCAGGGCGTCAAAGTATGCTACATTTCACGATGGCTCTCGAGGAGGCGGGTTTTCACCGGCACACATACTGCAACCCCAACGCAGAGGTTTCTCTCTTTGATTTTTAGATGTGAGATATTTTCCCGCTACTAGTCCTCCATCTTTCCTCTTGAATCCAAGCAACGGAGAGCCTGGTCGCTTGCAAAGGAACATCCACGCGTTTGCACCGAGTGCCTGTAGCCTCGATGCCAGCAAGTCAACACTGTCCAAGCAACCAGCACCCATAAACCAAGAGCAACCTCCGAATACGCCAGAAGGAGAGAAGGCGAACTTACTACATGATGACCGGGAAGAAGCACTCCAGCGTATACGCCACCCGATCGGCATAACTCGTGACCGAATTACTCTGCTCTTTATTCAACGAGTGCGTAACCGTCCTCATAACCCCCGTCACGACCAGGGTCGCAAGCCGGACCTCGTTGCTCCGCACCAGGTACCGCACGAACCCGATCCTCAGACCCGCCTGCGTCGCCGCCGCCCGCGTTTCGGCGAACGCCCCGAGGAGGAAGTAGGCGCTCACGCATTCCGTCATGGCGAGCGGGCAGAAGTAGCCAATGTGCAGGCCGTTGATGAGGCTTTGCAGGCTGCCGTCGGCGCGGAGGATGTGTTGGACGCGGAAGACGATGATGAGGATCCGGACGATGAGGATGGCGAAGAGGGCTAGCCAGAAGAGGGTGGTGAAGATTTTGCGGCGGGTGCCGTGGAGGATGTTGCGGAGGAGGATGTAGCTGTAGAAGGGGAGGCTTGCTTCTTGGACCTGTGGTACTTGTGTAAACCATCGGTGATGAGATCTAATACCCATTCCGGGCCTCTTGGTATTATGCTTACCATCCAGAAAAAGTCTCCAAAGGCCGCGACGACCGCTTTTCTTTCGAGAGGGTAGTACGTCTCGTCGTAGTAGGCATAATAGCATAGCCCGTTCGCGATAGCCCCGGCGGCGGATGAGATGATGGGAACGATTGCGACCTTGGAGAAAGAGGCGATACCGATGACGAGGAATCCCAGGAGGACGTTGAGCATCTCGACGGTGCTCAAGGGTGACCAGCTCAGCTCAAAATATGGCAGGTTGGACGGCGATTTCAAGGTGCTGTCAAACACATTAAGTGTACCCGAGAAACCCATACCCGGTAGCGGCTAACAAGACGCAGAGATGAGAGTGTTATGGAGCCTCATGTAGAGGTATTTCCAGTAGTTTCTGGGTAATCCTATGGTTCGTCCGTGGTCGAGTTGACGTTGACGTCTGCTCTCAGAAGTGTGACATTAAGGCGACCGAGCCATACATGAGTTTTCGAGTCATCAACGGCTTAAGGAAGGCCTCTCTCTAGCTCGGCTATTGTACTTGGCGGGCCCACGGGCCGTTTCTCCAGTCCCTTAACCGCTCCCGTTTACCAGCTCCTGAACAGGTCGCCATGTCCCTGGATCAGCCTGGACCAGGAGAGTTCTTCTACCTTTTCACATCCAGACTCCAGAGAACCACGGGCGGGGTTCTCAAGAGCGAGGAGATTAAGAACATCTCGGTCTCGGGGGGCCGATAACTAGTGGCTTGACATGAACTTTGGAAGAGGCTTTATCTCGGAGCCTCACAGTCGGGACAGTTGACGTGAGAAGAGATGAACCTAAATCTGGTCTGGGCCGGTGCGGTTGACGCCGCGTGCCACATGCGGCACCTCACGTCGGCACTGTTTTCAAAGAACTAGGCCCCAAGCAAGTTTGCCAAACTTGTCAATCAAAGACACTATGTCGAGCTCGTCTAATATCCGTAGACGGCGTGGCTAAAATCTGGGAAGACTAAATCGCGTGTTCGTGGAGGCGCTGCCCAAGTTTCGACACATTTGCCGTTTGGCGTTATCTAGTTTTGAGCCTCAAGCTTGTCCTCCTTAAGTCCGATAGAATCCCCTTGATTGGATGAATATCAAGCATTGCCTTGATTGATCTTATAAGAGACAGCTGTCATAATCCCGTCTACACGGTAACTTGAAAGAATCCAGCGTGTTACTGAAGGCTCGTGCTGCCACAACGTCAACTCTAGTGTGAGAACTCACTCACTTGTTGACTCAAGGTTTCGCTATATCAATAATCGCAAGCCAGGTTCTGTCTGGTCAAAGTTTGTAATTATCATACTAGTCTGAACTGCCTTTTGTTTCCGGCTCTTGATAAAATTAATTGGCAAGACTTCCATATCCACCGATCTTGTGAGGCGATTGAGAGTTGCGACAAGACGGTCTATATCCGCCTCGAGTTGCTCTTATCGTCCCAGAGTCCGGCTGTTTCCTGGGTAAGAGAGAGATAAAGTGCACTCTCTGAACTTATTTTCCACCGGATGGTATACACCATGAGGTTGAGCATCGATGAGACTGATATCCTTCCCAATCCCTCCTTTAAAGACTACTCAACCGCACTAAAATCTTTGACCTACTCCATTAGCACCGTTTGAGTATCTCCCGGAAATGAATGATAACAAACACAGTTGATTACATTCGTTCCCAAGCGTCTGCTCAACCCAAGCCTCAGTCTTTTTCAGAGACTCAAGGGCCAAAAATTGGGTCATCTCCCTTATGCAGAGTCCGCAGTCACCACTGCTTCTCAGTGACGAGTATTATGTCCGATTCAACTCCTCCATAGGTTTCGTTCACATTCGAATGCCAAATCTTCTCCCAGTGTTGTGCAAAATGGTATCACGTCGAGCATCGTCAACTCACGTACATTGAACTCACTGACAACTCACAGACTACGAGCACCAAACACACAAGAGGTCGCCGCTCAAGCATTGAATTATCAAGCAACGTAGTAGTTAGAAACTACATTGCTTCGATCTCACCAGCTTAGTCTCTCCGTATTTCCGTAGTCCAGACCCGACATCTACCACCGCCGGAAGAGCCTCGAACCCAATCGAAACTCCACAAAACGGGCTGCATCAACGACAGCAACTTCGAGCTACACTGTACCAACGACACCTCTACCATAACAACTCGTCATCTATACTGATATCATCTCCGCTACTCTTGAGAATTCGTAAAATCAATGGCAACAACATGGAAAGCTAGCAACGTGGCCGGGGTATTTCGTGAGTGATGGACGAGTACTTCATGCACAGAGGGTCAGGCCGATCACCAACCCCTTGGCCAGAGATTCCAAGGACCAAATCCGATTGCCAATCGTAGTGAAATGTCAAATTGGCAAACCTAGCCAGACGTCCTCATGCTTACACAAAGAAAAGCCTCATTGCTTTCAATATCGTCACCAGTCTGCTAGTTTGAATTCTCCAGGACTGAGTCATATGAATGCGGCGGAAGCCCTTTATGCTCAAGATGTAGGGAGAGTCCAGCAATTCAATCATGATATGATTCCAATCCCTCCAGGTGGTTCAAGAATAAGGTGCTCGTTCCTACAGCCGTCAATCAGCAACCATGTTCAGCCTCGAAACAAGATTCTGCTAACGGCTGACCATGAAAGTCAGCTTTCTTTATATCTTGGACACTTAGTGCATAGTGATCAAAGTATGCCGTGCTAGCAACTGCAGTACAATACTTCCCATCTAGCTACTATCATTGGCTAGTAGAATGGATACATCACTTATTTCAACGCTCGTTACATGTACACGTACGATACCCTAGCTAGAGAGTTACTAGAAAACAAGTCCCTCGAATGATACTAAGAGCAGAAGGAAGAAGAAACAGTGTATCTCCAAGGAATTGACATCCTCGAAACCGAGAAATGACTTGAACTTGACAAGTGGAGAGTGACAGCCGCGACACATTGATACTTCAAGTCTCTCAACCAACTTGGGCTTGCTTTTTAGGGCCTCGATATCCACACATCAAACAAGTCATGACGGGACATGGGCCAATGGAGCAGTAACTTCTGATAACAACCAGATAATAGAGCTCAGTCCCATACCCAGTCATCTTATCCCCCAATACAGTGAGCATCGACCTCTGACCCACAAGCTCCAGAACAGACAATCATCAAAATCCAGGATCCTCATCGCGCAAGGGGCATATCCAAACGTGTCGCGCAGGACACCCTCCGACTGGATGGATTTCCAACGTCAACCAAAGAGCCCTGGACACACACGTGGAAAGCATGTCCCAAAAAGATGCTGTACTTAGAGAGGTACCTTTTTCTTTGGAGAGCACATCTACTTACCCCTACCACAAGTCTCCTCCTCTCGGTGTCTCTTTCCGGGTATTCTTCCCCAGCGTCCCGGAAGACTTGACCTTGACAAGCAGACACCTACACCCACAACATACAAGCCCCTCCGTCTTTGGCCTTCGAAGCGTGAGGATATCAATAAATCTGATTCGAGCAAACCCAACAAGACGAAGGAAGCTCAAGCCAGAAAAGAGGGCTTGCTTTCAAGATCAAACGCAAATACGAACAAACAGTTCAGCCGTACCAAATATGAAGCAACACTATGGCCCCCAGGCTCACCGACTCACCGGCTCCAAGGTTCAAGGATTTCAGTGCCCCGGTGAGCCGGCCTCCTGGGTACCACTACATACCTACCACAGCGGATGTGGGTTCCGGGTGAGATAGACACGACCACATGGCGGATCCCCGACCTCTCTTTGGATAGGAAAATGAAAAGTCAAGAGAGGAAACCACGAAGGGTCAATGCAGCCCTGTGCAGCCGCGCCCGGACCCATCCCAGGAAGAAAGATAGATCACCGTCCCTTTTCCGGATCAACGAAGAGAGGATCGCCGGGGGACGTATGTGAACAGCTCTTCGGTTACCTGATCCATGTGGTCCGCATCATTGGAACATGAAGCTCCACGAGGATAACATACCATCAGCAAAAACACTCGTTCGAGTCTTCGACACATACTATCATGAACCTTTCGGCGGCTTTCCTCGGTGTACGGGGGAGTGTAAGACATGAGCCATGCCCCCTGAGTTGGGTTTCAGAGCGATCGGCAGGAACATTTCAGGGCCCCTAGGACCGGTGGCGACCATGAAGCAGGCTGCACCTCCCTGACAGTCCGGGGAAGGAGGACATGGTTTCCGGCAGAGCCTCAGGGAGAAGAAAAAAGCAAGGAAGAAGGGGCAAAGCTACAATGTGAGGAGGTATCTTGACGAGCGTCGCTCATAAGCTATGCTTTCCTCACGTGGGCGGGTTGATAGGAGTAAACGGCCGAAGTGACCTCGAGGCTTGACTTCAAGCGGGCCAACCCTTGTCAGGAATATACGACTGAAATCTAATCTGTAAATGCCCAGTACCTGGTAGCAAGGGAATTTCAGAGTCTTGGCTGTGTATGTACAGATGAAGGGAAGGCTTCAACTTTGTCTTGGGGAAAGTCAAGCCGAATCGTCGGCATAACGCCTCAGACAGCGTACTCACACTCTGTACTGAGCGCACCATCAAGACGCCACAAGCACGCAATATTGTACGATTGTGGGAAACACAAATTGGTTGCCACGAGGTCAGACAGACAGATTCGTCTGAACAGAGTACTCCATACCATCTCTGGCGCGGCTATCGTGCAGCGCTCTCTGTACCCGGTCGATCGTATCGGAGGGCCGCGCGGGTCTCCCAAGCCCTTTCTACTAGATTAGCCATGTGAGTGCACACACGGCATGGCCAGGTCTTGCTCAGAGCCAAGTCAGGAGAGTTCAACGCATAGACTAGACTTGAACAACTTTGGGCGGCCGTTGATAGAGGATGAGAGCGAAAGCAAGGGAAGGGGTGGGCGATATGTTGGGTAACTTGGGTTGATGTCTTGGTTGGGCCGTTGCGAGGCGGTCTGGCGAGCACGTTGTTGGATGATTGGCGACGAAGGGTCCATTGGAGTTCTGGCAGATAAGTTGCGGATTGGGCTTGGCGCAAGCTTGTTCCTCCAGACTTCCGGGGACGGGGAATGGAACCCCTCGAGCAGGATAAAATAGAAACATTGGCATCTGCAAAGGGCATTTTGAAACGTGTCAGAAAAGCGAGTTGCGTTTGGCTTAGACCGCAGATAAACGCTCCGTCCTGTCTCGACTGCCTTTGGCGCGGAAACTAATTCGCAGACCGACGAAACAAGGAGGGATGGTATTGAAATCGAGGCGAGTGGCCGGGGCCGGGCCTGTGAACCTTGTAGATACACAGGGTCGACGCTACTCTGAGAGATTGCCAATGGTCTGATGGAACCGATTGCGGCCTCATTTTCAACTTGGTTTGTGCCTGGTGATCGATTGGTGGTATACTTGATTGACTGATGCGATGACGCTGTGGAACATTTGCGATAGTCGTGCTGCGAAAGCGGATCCAACTGACCACTATTTCAATGACACCTGGATGGCTAACGATATAGGGACGTGCCGGTGAGTTGGTCGTCCGTCTAATCGGGGAAATGGGCGGCGTGTTCTTTTCGATGCCAGCAGGACATGCTCTTCAAGACGTGCCGCAGTGTAACCACACCCACTGGAAGAAGGCTTCTATTCATTTGCTCTTCGCGGATGACGGATGGAGCCATGTTCAGGCCCGGTCAGCAACCCGGACACCGGACAAAACAAGCGAGGAGAAGACAGCAAGCAGCCCTGGGACGCTAGCCAGTGGTGGAAGGGTTGGCCCGCACTGGCGATGTATGGCATCCTGGGGAAACATCAGGGGGTCCGGCAAAAAGGATTATCAAGGGTGGTCATAGACGCTAGGTAGTTCTGGTTCGGCTCTGCTTTCTGCTTGGATGGAACTGATAGTCCGCGTACGCGAAAGGCCGAGTATTCCGCCAACTGAGCGGCATGCCAATGCTCTTAATTGTGCCGCCATCCTTTTGCGCGACCAAGCACTCGTCTGCTACATCAAATTCCGGCAGGCGAGACACTGAGAACTGTGGCTCTTGAGATGAGCCTGTAGAATCGAGAGAAACGACAACGTGCTCTCAGGAAGTTTCGGGATCAGCAGCCGGGCAAATTTGTCGTGTCGGTGAAAGTGAGGAGGCAAGGTAGAATTGAAAACACCCAGCTGTGCCGACATGGCGCGGTGTACATTGCGGTCTGAGATATTGCTAAGCCGGGGAACGGACCCGAGATACTGTCGTGTCCAGATACGTGTAGTACGCAGTGACAATGCTTACATCATGGCGGCAGCCGAGTCGTTTTGTGGTACAGGTGCAGCGGTGACGATCCGGGGTCTTCAATGACGTTAGGTAATGGTGGTTCTCGTGACCAAGACCTAGGACAAAGGCTCTTCAAAACGTTGAACGAGGCTGTTGTTAAGAAGAAGCTGCAGGGTAGGCGACAAGCAAGATGCAGGCAGATGGAGGTCAGCCGGTTGATGATCCCAATGGCTGAAGGGACGAAGGTTCGACTCCTCCTTCTTTGTGGCCCGTGGGAATAGGGATTGCTGTTGCTGGCTGATGCTAGGGCTTCTCCAACCGTTTGGGCCCAAGACCCAAGCCTCTGTAGACTCTTTGCGGTCAAGTACCTAGTGTGCGGTGTTGGGGAGTCTTGACCTTTGGTAGTCAGAGATTGAGCCAAGGTCGAGGTGAAAAGCTAGGAACGATTCCGGGCTAGCGATGCCCTGGCATTGGTGAGGTTTGTAGGTTTGTCCAAGACGAGCGACTGGGAGGACTCCGGGAGCCAAGTTAGCAGTGCCGTGGACGGCGTCACACCGTACAAGCGGGGTTTGGACGAAGGGCTGCTGGGTTGATACCGGAAGCGACTAGGGTAGCGCAGGGGCGCCCGCAGCCGTGGGAACGAGAGCGACGGGGGATGGTCATGTTTCGATTGAGTTGCGCAAAGCCAGCTGACTGCCTTGGGTACGGAGTAGAGGCGATGGTGTTATTCTTGTTTGTGATGTGATGCGCTGCGCTGTGAAATAGAGAAGATGAAAGTGCAACATAGCCGGTGCTTCGGGTACTTGTTTGCCTACTTGCTGGCTGTGTCATCAACATTGATAAGAGAATCGCATCTTTGAGTAAGGTAAGCTGTCCGTGAAGACTAGAGTTGATTCGACCGGATCATGGTCAAGCAACATGTGTGGTGTCATGCCTGGGAAGCGAGGATGAGTGAGGGTTCGGTTCAAGACTACGAGGTGGTGTTGATGTCAGAAATTGGGTTGGCATCCGCTGCCGCGCCGACAGGAGCAGATCCAGAGGTTGTCTCGATGCTTGAGCTGACTTTGTTTATCATTGAGGCAAGTACCTTATCAGATGTACCTAAGATATCTTCCACTTGTAAACTGGAAGTTTCCATGGAAAAAGGAGATGGAAAGCGCCAGCTGTCCTGAATTGCGTTAGTGGTTCTTTCCCGTCGACGGTCGTGTCGTAAATGTTTCCTCCCCCAGGTGCCACTACTTCTCACACGTGGGAGTGACAGAAGTACTTTTCACGTGTGATTGCTGGGAAAGTATACATGGATGTCATGTTGAGAGGTTCCCGTCCAGTGCGTCCTTATCCTCGGTACTTGGTCTGCCGCGTGATCTGCCCCTCATTTGGATGTGCCTTCCCAGGTTGTCTTGACCTCCCTATCAGCGGCGCCAGGGCCCTGGACATCCCTGCTCGTTACGTCCACTCCTCCGCTCCGAAGCGCCGCGCCGTCTGTCTGCTAGAACTTTGGCCCCACTGCTATCAGCAAAAAAGGTGCGAACCCCAATCCCCAAACCCCAACATGCTCTCTCCCGCTTTCGACAAGGTAGGTAATGACGATGTGGGAAAGAGACTACCTTTGGTATATTAGATAAGGTAGGGCGTCTCCAAGTACGGAGTACTATCGCTCACAATTTCGCTGGGAGGCTACCTACATTTGAGCTGCCTTGAACGTGGTGGTCATGGTGTGTTTGCCCCTCGCACGCACACACTCACACACACACTCGCTCATTCTCATCCCCTCACTCATCAACCCAACTCGACGAGATGCCTCAACTTGACTGACTAGGCAGTTGACTGTGCAGGACCTACTGGTGCCAGATACTCATCTATCTATGGATTAAGGTAGTCAGTGATGAATCTTTCTGCCCAGTCTCATGAGATCGAGACCCAAAACTCATGAGATTTGAGCATCTACTTACCTTACGGTACTCAGCCCACAGGGCAGCAGCAAACCCCACTCGCGAGCCCACACACAATCCTCCACCGCCCACAGACGCAGATTCGCGGGCATCGCAGCGCAGCGAGCCCACGCCGCACACTGCAGCGCATCGCATCGCATTGGCCCTTTCGCGCTCTACCTATCTCCAGACTCCCACTGGCACTGTATCCTTGGGCCATTGGAGGACCTCTTTTGCTTCTTTCCGTTTCCACGCTGGCACTGAGACCTTGTCTGTGGCTGCTTGGTGCTGTTGTTGCTTTTTCATCTTACACGCCTCGCTCTCTTCTCACACCACCTACTTTATCTTACCTTGCAGTACGGAGTAGAGAGTGAGGTATCTTCTCAGCTCTCACTCGGTATCTCACTGGCTCAATCACTCCAAGGTATGCTCATTGCCAATCACCACTCACTGAGACACTCACTCACCCGGACGGACTCACTCACTTTCCTCGAACCGAGCCTAACCTACGGTAAGCACTTTTGAACCAAAGTAAGGTCCCTTAGGTACCCAAGGTACTCCGTACATAGTAACCTAAACTCAGGCACCTTGTAACTTGTACCCCCCGGCCTTCTCGCCCCGACCCTGGGCCCTAGCCGTTCCCCTCTGGCACGCCGTACCAGGTCACTCACTCACTCGGCTCCTTGCCACTGCGGCCTGCCTGCGCCCACGCCTTTTTCCCAGCCCGCCCACTTTACTCTTTCCTCTCGCCTACGCCGCATGTCGTGACGTGCCTTTTCCTCCCCCCATTCTTACACCTTACCGAACCTCCCACACACACACCACACTTCCGTCACTCACTCACTCACTCACTCACACGCAGGAGACGCAAAAACGCCGCTCTCTATCCCTTCTGCCGCCCCAGGAACAACCGGCGACCAATCCTCCCATATCGTCCAGACTCTCGCCAGATGTTTCCCTCATGTCCAGCCCGCCTCGTAACGCCGAAAATGCCGCACCCGCGACCCTGGTGAGCCCCGCGCATTTGTCGTCGTCGTCGTCCACTCCCAGTTCCGCCTCTGCCTCCGCCTCCGCCCCCATCATCTCCAGCCCAAAGTCCAGTCAAAGTCCCAGTCCGAGGGATCCAGCTGTCAACCCGACTGGTCTCGAAGAACTTGGTACCGATCCTGATACTGTTGCTGGTCTTGCTGCCCCGGTCGCTGTTGCTCCTGCTGCTACTGCCGCTGCCGCTCTCCAACACCAAACTCTGCCTCCAGTCCCTCCGCAATCACTTCAAGTTCTAGACACCCCCCTAGCCCAAGCTGCAGATCCACCCCCTGCCACGGCCGCTGTCACCCAGCACCAGCAGGATGCCTCGTGCCATGTCGACCCGAATATTAAAAAGCCCCGAGGCCCTGCCGCCCTCCCGAGGCAGTCCGGACCGTCCTTGCTAACCCAAGCCCTCGCCTCAGCTCGCGGCATCCCTTCGAGAACACATTCCCACCAAGATCAAACATCGCAACCTTCTAGCCAGCTGTCCACCCGCTCGCTGCCCTCGCCTACCGCCGACTTCGTTCCTTCCAACTCCAACTCCGACCCATCCTCTGCTGCTGGCCTGGATCCTCTCGCCGTCGACCCTCGCAATGTTCCCTCCCTCCCCGGTCATGGCGCCTCAGTAACTCCCAGAAGCGCTCCTCAACCCGGCATCGTACCCCCGTCCGACATTACCAACCAGACCGCCGCTCTTCATACCCCCGACGCCGACATGGAGATCATGACATCGCCCACCTACGATATGGCCAGTTTCCAGGGTATTCGAGCAATGTTGCTAGATCACCGCGACTTTCTCAAGAGCACGCGCTCCCCGCGTGCCAGGGGCTCGTCTTTGGAGCGAGTTGACCCGGAGATGCGAGCACAGGGAGGCCTCCGGAAAAGTAGAGCTCATTCCCACTCCACCAGCCCAGAAGGATCTCTCAGTTCAGTCGCGCAAATGGATCAGAAACTACACCAGGGTGCCACTACTGTGCCTGAAGGCCGACCGAAGAAACTGGAGCAGCGCTTCTCCGTTGGACCCGAGAAGATATGGTCGATTGGGTCCAGTGAGGCCATCGACGGACAAGAAGATGGTCAGGTGGAGAAGTCCGTCCACGAAGCCATGATTGGCGCCGAGCCCAACGCTCGCAGCCGAAAGGCTAGCTACAGTCTTCGATTCTTCCGAGAGGGACTGCCCAAGGAGGAGAAGACGCCCGGACGCAAAAAGGAGCAGCGCCCTAAAGAGAAGCCTTCTCTGAGCTCAGATTCGCAGGAGCCGCTCTCGTCAGACATTGCCATCGAAGATTTCGCCAAAGCTGCCAGTGCTCAACCCTCGCCTAGGATTCTCGACAAGAAGGACCGGGTGCCAAAGCAACTGGAAAGAGTCAAGACTTTTCCCCTTCAGTCACCTCAGGCCGGCGAAACTCCCATCCTGACCGACTCGCCCACTCAAGACTATTTCGGGTTGAGGAAGGTTAACGGCGACATTTTCCACAAGGTGGATACCGAAGTTGTCAGACAGGTCATCGATAAGACCGGTCCTACGAATGGAGACAAAGAGGGCGACGCTGCGCTGCCCTCAATTGAAGAATCCGGAGCGACCGAGACCCGACGCCTGTCCGCCGACAGCAGTGACCCTGGAGAAAGCCACGAGGAGGGAGATGAGTCTTCCGAGGAGAAAATTTCTTCAGCTGTGTTTGTGCCGCACCCTGGCTTGGAGGAGGCAGCTGAACGCGAGAGAGACGTGGCGAAACCGAGACAGACGCCTGGTCGCACCACGTCCAAAGCCAGAGCTGAGGATTTCCACCCTTGGCTGGTGAAGGCTGATGAGCCCGAGCCCGAGGAGGAGCTGCTGCTGCTCTCTCCTGACCAGCCTCCCGAAACTCCTTCCAAGTCGAAGCCGAAGAGTCTGCCCGGCGAGCCCAACATTACTCTACGCGAGGTTCAACCGGGCACCATGGAGGACGTGAAGGTTGAAGAAGAGTCGGAGCCACCGACGCCGAAGCACATCCCTGCACACATTGATGACCACGCACACAATCATCAAGTGGAGCAGAAAGAGCCTCTCGAGGCCATCGAACTCATCCCCTACAAGCACCAAGTTGGCGGCCACACCACGCTTTGGCGCTTTTCCAAGAGAGCTGTCTGCAAACAGCTCAATAACCGGGAGAATGAGTTTTACGAAAATGTGGAACAGGACCATCCTGATTTGCTCTCATTCCTCCCACGGTACATTGGTGTTCTCAACGTAACTTTCCACAAGCAACCCCGGCGCAAGTCGACCCACAGGCGTGATGATGCTCCCCTGCTGGAGCGGAAGCCGACCGGAGATATTGGTGCTACAGCTTCAGCGGACGCGACCAAGTCCAATGGATCCAACGGCGCGTCTCAGCCGAGTCAGGAGCACCGCCGCATCATCAGCCAGTCGCTCTCTTCCGCCCCGGAACCGATTCCGACAGTGACCTTTGACGACAACTGGCACATCTTACCCCGGAACCTCCTGCAACCGACGCCTCCTCCAGTCGCCATACCGACGCGGGGTCGAAGTACATCATCTGCAGGTCTTCCCGACAATCCTGAGCAGAGCAAAATGGCATCCCCAACCAGGCCCAGTCTGGATGATAGGCACGCGAACAGCTGGGGTGCAACTACCGTCAACAAGCGACTGCGCAACGAGGTGTTCAATGACGTCTTCTTGAAGCAGCCGATTCCGATCCACAAGCATCGCCGCCCCCACCAAAAGTCGATGGCTTTTCGTAAGCAGCCGACATTGAGGCCAGCTAGCTCTGTACCCGACTTAGTCCGCAGACAGGATCCGTCCGCCGTAGAAGGTCACGCACCTCAAAAGCCCAGCCCGCTTCGGCCGAGGAGCTCCTCGCCGCCACCCACAGAGAGCATTGCCATGGAGCGCCCGAGTCATCTCGAGGCTGCCGAAGCAGAGGCCGAAGATAGCGATGTCAAGGACGTGACTGGCACCAGTGCACCGGAGCCTGAGACTCTTGCGGACAAGATTATTGCTCAGAAGAAGAAGAGACGCTATTCTGGAACAGGCCTCCGACGGAAGCCACGAACAGTGACGGAGTCTAGAGGACATCTCAAGTACTGGGAAGAGGCAGATGACGCTGGCTATAGAGGTGAAGACGAAGGCGGGCAGTCCCTCATCACGTCCCAAGTGAACTCGCCCATGATCGAATCGCCAAGCACGAATGGCACAAACGCCAGTGAAGGTGCCGCGAAAGAACTGAGTCTCCCAGTGCCTGCTGCTGATGCATCTCAAGCCGACGTCCCGACCGAAGCTGAGCACTCTACGTATGCGTCAACTGTCCCGTCCGAGGTGCCTAGCCCTACCCAAGAGTTCCGCAGAATCCCGCGACCCGTGAATCCGAAGGAAGCACAAACGCAGAGAGACTCCCGCGTCGAGTACTTCCTTCTGTTGGAAGATCTCACAGCAGGCATGAAACGGCCCTGTATCATGGACCTAAAGATGGGCACCAGACAGTACGGCGTTGAGGCCAACCCCAAGAAGCAAAAGTCGCAGCAGGGCAAGTGTGCCAGGACAACCTCGCGTGAACTCGGCGTGCGTGTATGCGGACTTCAGGTCTGGGATGTCAAGAGCCAGAGCTACGTCTTCAAGGACAAGTACTTTGGACGTGACCTCAAAGCCGGCCAAGAGTTCCAGGACGCTTTGACGCGATTCTTGTACGATGGCGTTGATTACGCGAGCATTTTGCGACACATTCCGACTATCCTGCAAAAGCTGGATCACCTCGAGTCGATCGTCCGAGGACTGGACGGGTACCGATTTTACGCCGCCAGTCTCCTCATGTTTTACGACGGCGACACGACCAACGAGGGTAATGAATACGATACAGTCGTTGACGATTCCACGACTGACTTTGCAACCGACACGGAGGAGACGTCGGCGCTGCGCGAGAAGAAGAAGCAGAAGAAGAAGCGCGGCATCGACTTCAAGATTGCCGACTTTGCAAACAGCCTGACCAAGGGCGACCTTGCAGAGGGAAAGCCGTGTCCGCCGCGGCATCCCAACGAGCCGGACCGTGGCTTTCTCCGAGGTCTTCGAACGTTGAGGAAGTATTTCCTCAAGATCCAGAAGGATATTCGTGCTGAGATGGGTCCGGATTGTCACGGACGAAGTCATAGGATGGATGGTGATGATATTGCCATTGATCACGTCTCGGATGAGGAGGGGTCTGTTAGCGAATGATTGGAGGGAAGGGAGATAGGGATGTGTCTCTTTCTTCATGTTGATAATTTGGGAAATTCCTTTTATTCTGGATTGGGGATGTGTGGTTCTTTTTTTCATGGGATGGGAATGGGAATTGGGGGGTTCGGCGGAGTCAGGGACGGCACTTGACAACATACCCGGCATCGGTTCGGCGTCACAATACAGATTTCAAGGCAACTGAGATGTTTTGTACTTCACTTTGTTTCTCTGTCTCTCTCATGAGCTTGAGCTTGATTGGTGGTTGCTGCAGATATATGCCGTGTCTGACGTGAGTGCTGTGCGAGAGGTTGTGATGGTTGCTGATGAGGAATGCTGTGATGCATGTTGTTGGGGGAGGTTTGGGGAGAGCTTCATCGGTTCGGGCAGTGTGAAGGCGTTGTGTTCTCGTTTGCTTACGGCCTAGGTTTAGACGTCAAGGTAGACAAAAATGAGTAGATTCTATCCGTACACTCGCCTCAAATCCGTACTTTACCTACCATACCTTGATAGCTCTCCGTTTCAATAATGGGAATGTCCAGTTCGAGTAATGGAGAAAAGTTAGCGAACGCCACGCCACGGTCCCTCCAGGTCGTTGCGTCTGTTTCCGAGTGTGCCGGGTTGCCGGCCGCCTGAGGTCCGGGTGTCTTATGTAAGCTTCCGACGTCAATGAAGTATAATACCCCCAGGGAGGGATGCTGAAATCGGCACCTTGGAGTCTGGACACATGGCTATGTCGGTTTCATCCAATGTCCCGTGACGAACTTGATCAGTGCTCTCAAGCCATTTAAATCCTGGTAGGATTCCCTGTCATCGCGTATTACCGTACCAGAGGAGCTGGCGCATCAACACCATCACACGTCGTCGTCGCATGCTCGACTTCCTCACCCTCTCGTCACTTATAAAAGAAAATCATCTATACTTCCCCTTTGTATCTTCAAAGAGGGTAAGGAAAAGAAGGCACAACGCAAAAATGGGCTCCATCCTCTCCTCCCTCCGCGGCGCAACAAAAACCGTCACCGCCGTAGCAAAGCTCCTCCTGGACCTGAACAAGACATACCAAGCCCTCCTTACCCGCGTCAACGCCCCTCCCGGCCTCCCGCACGCGAACCCTTCGAACCCTTATTGGCTCGACGACCCGCCGTTTCCGGAGCTCGTGGATGCGCAGTCGGAGAAGCTGCCCGCTGAGGCGGATGTCGTTATTATTGGGAGTGGGATTACGGGCGCGGCGGTGGCGAGGGGGTTGTTTGCTGCTGCTGCTGCGGGGGATGTATCAGATGAGGAAGGGAGGGATGGAGAAGGGAAGAAGGGGCCGAGGGTTGTGGTTCTTGAGGCGAGGAGGTTATGTGCTGGTGCGACGGGGCGGAATGGAGGACATGTGAAAGCCAGTCCGCATGAGTTGTTCACGAAGCTGGCGCGGTATTTTGGGAAAGAGGGCGCGGCGAGGTTGACGAGGTTTGCGTTGAGGACCGCGGAGGCTGTGTTGGAGGTTGGTGGGGAGGAAGGGAGGGAAGTGGCCGAGTGCAGACGCGTCGAGACGGTGGATTTCTTCCTCGATGACAAGGGGTTCGAGGAGGGGAAGAAGGAGGTGGAGGAGTTGAGGCGGTGGGTGCCCGAGGTGGAGATTGCGGTGCTTGGGAGGGAGGAGACGGAGGCTAGATTTGGGGTTGAGGGAGGGCATGTCAGTGGTGGGTTGGTGTATTCTGCTGGTGCGATGTGGCCGTATCGGCTTGTTGCGAAGATTTGGAAAGAGTTGGTGGATGAGTTTGCGGGGAGGTTGAGCTTGGAGATGAATACGGCTGTTGACGGGGTTGAGGTTGATGGTGAGGGGGGTGGGAGGCCGTATGTTGTTAGGACGCCGAGGGGGGTTATTCGAGCGAGACATGTTGTTCATGCTACGAATGCGCATGCGGGACAGTTTTTGCCAGGGTTGAGGGGGAAGATGGCGGGTGTGAAGGCGCATATGACGGCTCAGCGCCCCTCGACGACAACAACTTCATCCGGGCAGGGCACACAACAAGCAGAGGGAGGGGGAGGCTTCCAGTGGCCGGATAACAGCCGTACGGGAAGCAAATCATGGAGCATCCTCTACGGCAGCGGCGCCTTTGACTACGTCACGCAGCGGCCTAACGGGGACGTGATGCTCGGCGGCGGGTTCGCGCGGAGCGCGGGTGAGGGCGTGGATATGGTTGGCGTGTACGACGATTCCGGGACGGACGGGATGACGATCGCACATGTTTCTGGGGTTATGAACGCTGTGTTTGGGGCGAGGTGGAGGGGCGATGTGGTGAGGGTTTGGAGTGGTGTTTTGGGTGTTACGGGGGATATGGCGCCTTTTGTTGGGCGGGTTCCTGCTAGTGCTGCGGGGGTGAAGGGGAAGAAGGAATCTGTTTCTTCTTCTACCTCTTTGTCTTCTTGGTTTGGATTGAAGAAGGGGAGGGAGAGTGTCAAGGTGAAGAAGGTTGGGAAGACGGTTGATGAGCTGGAGGAGGAACACCCGTGGATGGGGGCTGAGGCGGGACAATGGGTCAGTGCTGGGTATTGTGGTGATGGTATGGTTTGGGCTTGGCTTTGCGGAACGGCGTTGGGGGTAATGGTTGCGGGTAAGGAGGATGCTGTGCTCGAGAAAGGTGTTGGGTTTCCTGGGGGTCGGCTGGGAGAGTGGTTTCCTCACGAGTTGTTGCTTACGGAGGCGAGGTTGAAGAAGGCTGATCTGAGTAATTTGGTGGATGAGATATAATGAACAAAAATGGCACACCGTTCCATCGAGGAACATAATTAATCTAGATGCTCTCTCCTACCTATCCTATTGAATACAAACTGGCCATTAAGGACCAAAATAACACGTGGCAAAAGGGAAATTCGAACTGACAAAATGGCAGAACATGATTGCTACAGCGAGACGCTGGGCGCGGCAGTCTTGGATTGATTTCAATTTGCGATCCGTGGAGGAGTAGGCACACTCTAGACCACTCGGCCAGGAGTGCTGGCGACAGCCTCTCGACCACCCCGATAGACATTCCAACTTGATGGGCTATAGAGGGTGTGGAGTGGGCCTTGTGTTGAAGATTTCAAGCAACATTGATGGATTCCTCGTCGTATTGAGCAGTGTTCGCCATTAGCAGTACCTTCAAACTCATGTTGCCTTGTCATCCTAGACGAAAGGTATCTAGCTGTGAGGTCGTCTCAAACCACCCAGAAAAGTCACTCCCAGCAATATGGTACAGGCTCTTTCTTCAGTTTTCCCTATTCTACAAAGTTTATGAGCTCACAAACACTCCATGTCTGAAATCAATGGCCGTCTGACTGTAGTTGAAGGAACACCATCAGTACTGCCGCGTATCTATACTCGCGTTAGCCATTGACCTTGGATTTAGTAGTAGAGGCAATCATACGCGGCTGTTGCACCCAGTGCTTCAAAAGGTTTCGCCACCATGGCCAGAGAAAGAACGAGGAGGAACACAAGGATGAAGACCGTAATGACAATAAGTTTTGGCTTTAAGTCTGACAGCGCCTGGAGTATCCATATGGGCGTGATGAGCATCAGAACTCCGACGGCGATAATGACAGTAGAGGCGAAACTGTCCATTCGTTTGTCGGAATAGTGAGAGACGTCTGCTTTATCGTAAGTCTCAACTTCTTCCTCTCTATGTCTCCATAGAGAAAGCGTTTGGAGGCGAAAGGATCCGTCGATGACTTGTCGCAGGGGAGTTTTTTTTCTTTTTGGGCCAAAGCTATGAGGTCCTCTTTGTGACCCAGATACTCCCGTTCTTCTGCCGCGATAGCCGCATCGCCACGGTTATGATGCCAATTTCGAAGGTTTTTTATGTCCCTTCGTGGTGCTATAGAAAGCTTTCGGAGAGTGTTTTGTTGTATCAAGAACTTATCTACGTGTCGTCAGTCGAAAGTACATGTGCAGCTTTGTTGAGATACCATACTGTATTTTCCTAGCTTTTTTTGTATCAATTTGATCAGCTCAGAACGTTCGTCCACGTCTTGTCTCAGTGTACCATTGTTGAAGTCTTCTGCATCTTTTCCGCTCAGTACACCGTCCATAGCTTCTAAGTCTTGTTCAAGCTCCGATATCTCATCCTGGAGCGCCAGTCCGACACGCACATTGAGTACGTCGAATCTGCGAAGAAGAAAGAAGTCATCTTCTGATGCTATGAACTGAGTATATCCTTTGTATCCAATGTATCTCCAAGGTTTCTCTTCTATATCCCCATCAGTTGGGCAGTCTTTAACTGTTCCCCCGGGAACTTCATGTTCAAATTGTGTACTCGAGCGATGAAACGAGGACAGCGGTCCCTCCGAATTCTGATGCATCGACGGAAGCATCGTTGGGAGCGAAGCCATGACTGTTGGTGATGTCTGTTAGTTGTTGTATCGCTGAGCGAAAGCCCAGAATAACGGGACTCTTGCGTCCTATGTGATGCAATAGAGGGGTGGTGAAGCAGGGCTGGCAAGGCGTTCACGGACAATCAGTCGCGGCCAGTCCGTAGCCAGTCATCTTTTTGAGACAAAATACCTATCGGGTCAGAATTGAAGATTGGCTGCATCCTCCCAATAAATGCACTTCGCCATTCGTCCTCAAGGCAGCGTTGCATTTTCCTGCGGGTACTGTGTAAGCGCCGTGGCGGAGACAAGGCAGACTGCCCCCCGCAGAGGAATGCTCCGCCTGCGCCAACAGTACCAACCAACATAAAGATAGCCGTTGCTCGAACAGCTTACCTTTAGTACCTGATATTGTAGGGGATCGTTTTCTGAACTTTGCTTTTGCTTCAGGATCTGAGAGTCTTTTCATCTTTCTATCTTGCCCAGGCTCAAAGCTCACTAAGAGCGGCAAGCCTGCTGGTGTCAGGCATGGAACCACCCAAACCGACCAACACGGATCCCTTTACAAGTTCCACGACACGTTGTTCCGAGATTGCAAAACAAACTGATTCCCTGGATTTAAGTGTAAAGAAGAAGAAGCCTGCCAACAAAGAAACCCAAGAAAGCGAATTCGGTTGTTCCGAGAGCGCACATGGCCAAACCCATCCTCTCAAGTCATGTTTGAAGCAAAAAGCTTCTGCTGAACTAGAAGATCAGTGGAATCGATTTGTGCTACCCACGCAGCCGGAAAACACTCGGGAAGTTCTTGGGAATGTGCAGCGCAGAGACGCCGCGGTATCAAGAGCACAGCCACCACCGAGCCGGCAACCGCAGCATGTTCCGTTCAACCAAGGTCGACAAACGAACGAGAGAGGGAGATTTAGAAGACAGCCAATGAAGAACGAAGACAGCGACTCGGACTCGGACGCGGAAAGCTGGCCATCAGATCAGGAACGATGACTCTGCCCCATCTTCAAATCAGCGACTCTTACGGTTGCTGAAGTCTGTTGCTGAGAAATGTGACAGCGTGCGACAGATACGTGCTAGCCATCGAAGGCACGGAGACAAGAGAAGAGAGCAGCTCCTTCGCCGATACCGAAAGGAAAGACACGATGCGCTGTCACAGTTCGTAGTTTCGACCTCGACAGATGCTCGTCAGGAGGCCCAGGAGGCTTTACGCAGGTTTCACGATTACGGCGATGCAACTCTGTCAGATCGTCTCAGAGGTCAAATCAAGGAATTGGATTCCAAACGGCAAGAGTACCTCGACGACGCACTCTACAGCACCCTTGATAAAAAGCTCCGAATACTGGGGCAGAAGGAGAATTCGGACGAGACATTGGAAGATATCATCCTCTGTGTTGAGTCCGATCTCGTCCATTCTTTCGAAAAGTTCGATCGCCCGTGGCGTGCTTGGGGTCTTCGACCCAGCGAGAGAGAAGAGGCCGACCCTCTCATCCACGAAATGCCTTTCCAAAAGAGACAAGCTCAATGAAAATGTTGGCTCGCACGAGCGTCTTGCTAGCATCCTCGCCGAGATGTATTTGGATTGGTGGATTGAGTTTGCCTACGTTGGCATTGGACCTCAATCCGATTTGCAGGAGGTTGTCACTGCTCGTTTAAACTCTCTTTACCAGGCCAAGAGACGTCCTGGCGAACTTTCGATGCTAAAAGATTTCTTTGCCGTGCCCTACATCAACAGGCTCGGTGTCGGCATCTCCTATGTCTTGGAGGTCGCTTTGGCAACAGAACTCCACCCCGAGAGCCTAGTACACTACTTTCCGGACTACATAGAGGTCATCGATTGCATTGAAGCATCGCGTATCAATGGGTCTCTTTCTTGCCAGTACATGGATTGGATCAATCCCTGTTTAGGTACTCAAGAGATTGAGGATATCTGCGAGAAGTGGAAGGTGGCCGTGAGGACAGAGACATGCAAGACGTACCGCAGAAGGATGAGTTCGTTCATCGACATTCGACAAGAGTTTTATGATGGCATACACCAGCGCAGTGTTGTCTCTCTGGTTCTCTTGAAAGGCGGATATCCTGCATCCATCAAGGACGTGTCTGCGAACGAACTACAGGTTATGGGTTGGTTTGAAGATGGAAAAGGAGGATACTGGCGGTATGAGTATGAAGCTGCGAAGGATGAGGCTTCCTTTTGGAGAAGTGCAAAGACCGGCGGGATGGCCTTCTTTCGTGTTGCTATGGACGGGGAAGTTTTGGGTATGGATTTGCCAAATGGCAAGTGGATCGGTTGGAATGACCTTGAAGATACGCAAGACGGGGGACTCCGAGATCATGGGCAGGCAGGCCGCAGCTAAGGCGGGCCATATTGTATTCAAGAGAGACTGTAATTACCTCATTATACCACACCTAATTATCATGTAAATACTGGTCAGCTTCTTCGCAAAAGTTACATGTAGAGGCTTGCCCTGCGGCTGTGATCCCTCGAAGTATGAGGAAACATCTTCATTGGATTATGTCTGGAAATCATGCATGAGAAAGGCAAAGCTCATGTGAATGGAGGCCACATCTATCATGGCGGAACATACGTGTTGCTCTGGAAGGCTTCGCAAAGCGTACTCAGGCAACCAATTCGTGGTCAAGTCCTAGTCAATCCTTTCCCCAACATGAAGTGGCCTATCGAGGATGCACGGCTGATTGGATACATCTGGGAGTACTCCGAAATCCGCCTTGGCTTAGCCACTGAGGTGCAAGCCTCTTTTTTCAGACACCCTAGAAGTACCCTTCAGTCAGGCGCCCCTCATCGGTCAATAGAGCAGATGTAAAGGGCTGGCTATAGAAGGCGTATCCGCTCTTGACCCCAGGATTGATCACGCTGCTCCATCCTCCTCCTCCAGAGTCTCTTGCCTCTGATACAAACCAATCTTTTAATCAATCATTGATAGCGGCCATTCTCAGAGAAATCAATAGGAACACGATGAGGCCTCCCGAAGACAGCTGGAGAACAGCACCGGAAGCCCAACATGCCTCAGCCCACCCGCTCAAGTCAGCATTCAAGACCCAACCGACCGTTGAAGGCACCCAAGAGATTTTGAACACATCGCCATCATCTTTTGCAGAAGACTGCATCTTGCCCACAACCTCAGAAGGAACTAGAGACGTTGCCGGATATGTTCGACGCAAGGCTGATGGTCCATCAAGAGCGCAACCTCCACCCCGCCAGCAACCACCCACACCGTCGTCTTCTCAATTCCGTCAACACAAAGAAAGAGCGTCACGCTCTAAGAGGATCAGAGACGATGGCGATAGCAACCCAGATTCGGATTCGAACTCGCCATTTGGCCGTCATGGCCACGGAGGCCCCTCGACTAAACGTGCGCAACGGACTGCAAACAACAAGACGTTCGACGCAAGTGGAAGTCACATCAATCGCAAAGTCCTTGAGAAAGAGGAGAAAGAACGAATGGAACTCTTTCCAGATCTACAAACGCTTTCCCGAGATTGGAGCCTTACACGCCGCTTCCGCAACGGACAACGTGAGAATGGGGAGCAGAGAATATTCGAGCTACTATTCGTCTCTGAGGAAGCCAAGCGAAGTCCGCAATCGAGAACCCGTTCATCTTGGAATATAGAACAACGAGATCATCAAACTGAGGTTCTCTCCGAAAGCGCGGATAGAACGACGTGGATGGTCGACATGGAAAAGAGGATTAAGCAATGGGACGCTTTGCTGCGGAGAGACACCTTTCCAGATGTCTGGCTACATCGTCAAGAAGATCGCCCTGCATTTGAAATTCTGGAAGAAATCATTTCTGTTATTGAGGAAGTCGTTTTGGAACAGCTATTGAAGTCTGGTCCCCGAATCTTCCGTCACGACTCAGACAGGCCCGTCGCAGCTTATGAGAGCATCGCAACAGCTGTCGAATATTTGGCAATCGATTATCAACTTTCTTCGATTGAAAAAAAGTATATTCCTGGTCGATCCAAGTTTCCACAGGTTACGTCGACTAGTTTCTCCGCATATGCTATTTCTGCGAGGTCTCTTCGGGGTTGAGATGGGTCGATATGGTCCTCTCGAAGAGCCGATTGAGTTCTTTGCCGGAGAATACATGAACTTGATGGAAACGCGACTAGTCGTCGATGTTGGAAGAGTAAGCGGAATCATTGTTCCGGATGAACCGAGGCTAGGAACTCTTGAAAGCTATGAGTCGTTCGGCAGTTGGCTGAGGAAGTCCCGCATCGATGGTCGACTTTCGCAAGAGTATGTCGACTACATGCTTTCCAACGCCGAGTCGTCGCAGATCTTTGAATATTGCAGGTATTGGGAAAATAACCAGAAGAATCTGGGTGGTCTAAGAAAGGAATTCTTCCTCGGAATTAGACACCCGGAGGTTGTTTCGATGGTCATCTTGAAAGAAGATTCGCCGATCACGATCAAAGATATGCCGGCAAACGAAGTAGAAAAAATGGGATGGTTCCGTGAAAAGGGAGACCCACTATACTGGCGTCACGAGTTGAGAAACGTATATCGAAGGGGTGATAGGAAGGGAGAGAACGTGGTCTTTCGAGTAACTATGGATGGGGAGGTTCTGGGGATGCACACACCGAATGGAGAGTGGCAAGCTTGGGAAACACGCGTCTGGGATTCTTCACCATGAGTACTTGTAATTGTCTAACTTCTGAAAGATATACAGTTACATTGCTGTTTCCGCTTTCGCTATCTGAAGTGTATGTCAACTTACCTACCACCTAGTACTGCAGTCTCTGCGTCACCTGTTTGCAGATGTGATTAGGAGAAAGACTTCATATGAAGCCAAGCAAAATCACAATGACAGAGGGCACCATCCTGAAGGGAATTTTACTAGCCGGGCCACGAATGAGGCCGTAAGAAGACATAAACTCATGACTTCGTACATTGTTCATCTTTCTTCCTCCCCTAACCCACAATCAACATCACCCGCTACTCCGTACGGATACAAGCATCCCGCCCAAAGTCGCCAAAAGCCAGGGGCCAGGGTCCCCGAGGCCCACTTGCGACCGCCTAACCCTGGAAGCTCACGCGACCTTGCCGAACCGTGGAGCTCCTCCTCCTCCCGGGGTGTTCTTCCAACCTATTCTCAGCTTCGGGGTCCGCCCACCCTGCTGCTGCGGGGTAGCTAACACAATGACGTCCCCAGTAAGGCAAAGCTTCCCGTTCGACGTTTCCCCCCTCCTCCCCTCCGCTGGCGTCCGCATCGTGGGGCCTTCTTACCTTCCAATAGCGCCCTTCGCTCGGCGTCTGAATCACCTCATTCTCAAACTGAAGTGCTTTAGCCCATATTTTTTTATCCTCTTCTTCATCGGCCCGGTCGCCCATTTCGATTCCCGTCACTCCGCGGGAAACTGCATTATTATCTACATACCTCTAGTCACCGCTCCAGCTGGATTGACTCACAGTGTACCCATACAGCTCGGATATCATCGCTTCAAGCATTCTCGCTGGACGCTGTTCATCAACGACTCCAAACCGAGTATCCCGCACTCAAAATCTCACCACTTACAACCATCACCAACATCACCACCACCAAACTCACACACCCTTAACCACAACCCATACAAACAAATGAAAATGTCTTCAATCCGCCTCGCAACAGCATCCCCCGCAACAGCCCCAACAACATCCCAAACCCTCTCCGACATCGCCTCCCTCGCCCACCGCGCCTCCTCCTCCAACGCAGACCTCCTCCTCCTGCCCGAAGCCTACCTCGGCGCAGGCTACCCCCGCGGCGCCTCCTTCGGCTCCAAAATCGGCTCCCGCGCCCCCGAGGGCCGCGACGAGTTCCTCGCCTACTTCAACGCCGCCGTCGACCTCGGCGACACCGTTGGCGACGCGGGCGCGGGAGGCGGCGACAAGTGGGTGAAGAAGCAGCTCCCCGCGCAGCACGCCGCCGGCGCCAAAATCGAAAGGGGCGATGGGTCCAGAGAGGAGCTGGAGAAGATTGCCGCGCAGACGGGCGTGTTTCTCGTCGTCGGGTGCATTGAGCGCGCCGGCGGGAGCTTGTACTGCGCCGTTGTCTACGTCTGTCCCAAGCTGGGTATAATTGGAAAGAGACGCAAAGTGATGCCCGTACGTTCCCCCCCCCTTATTCCTCACTCGAATGACTGTAGTACTATCGCGACTAACACCACACTCGCGCCACCACACAAAAGACCGCAACGGAACGCCTCATCTGGGCCCAAGGCTCCCCCGCAACCCTCCGCGCCGTCTCGACAACAATCAAGGGCGTCCGCATCAACCTCGCCGCCGCAATCTGCTGGGAGAGCTACATGCCCCTCCTCCGCCAATCCCTCTACGCCCAAAACATCAACCTCTACCTCGCCCCCACCGCCGACGGCCGCGACACCTGGCTGCCCCTCATGCGCACCGTCGCCTGCGAGGGCCGCTGCTTCGTCGTCTCCTCCAACATGGCTGCCAGGCCCCTTGCCACCAACACCACCACCGCATCTCCAACAACAACGACGACGCAGGCGCAGAACAACAACAACGACAGTGGTATCGAAGACGCAGAAGACGCCCAAATTTACCCCCCTCGCGCGCGCCGCAACTCGTGCCTCACAGAAGACGGCAACGAAATCGCTCTCCCCGGCAACAGCACCAGCACCAGCACCAGCACCAGCACCAACGGCACAACCCCCGCACCCAAGACCAAAACGACCTCGAAAGCGGCCCTCAAGTCAGAAGACTGGGTCTCCCGCGGCGGCTCCTCCATCGTCGGCCCCTTTGGCGACGTCCTCGCCGGACCGCAGTGGGAGGACGACGAGGGCATCATCTACGCCGACGTCGACTTTGAAGACTGCATTCGCGGACGGTTGGACATTGACGTTGGAGGAAGCTATTCGCGCAACGACTCCTTCAAGTTTTCCGTCGAGGGGTTGGATCTGGACCCCTTGCCGTATTAAACCATGCTGTCGAGTGGGCAGTCTGCTGCCAAAGTAAGTACTTGTCAAGACTGTCATGTAAGTAATCACCAAATTTGATAATTGGGTAATTATTGGCAAAAAAAAACCCCCCCAAAAGTACGATAATCAGACCTCGTTCGTAATGCATGTATTTCCGTCAATGCTCGACTCACGGCTAACTGGCTGCGTATGAGCCACGTGAGGGTAATATCCATGAAACCCTCCCCAATCCCAAACCCCGAACCATCCCAGTTCCCCCTCCTATGATGCCAGCCAAACACCCAAGCCCCAGACTCATTAACGCGAGAAAATGGTCGTGAATAGTGATGAAACATCGTATTTAGCGCTCCTCGTCGTCCTTGCCCCGATTCGTGCCGTCGCCCCTGTCTTCTGTTTCGCTCTTTTCCGAAGTCTCTCGTGGACTAGTCAACGGACTGGTGACGCCACCAATACTCCCGCTGATGCTGTCAGACCGGCCGTGGCCTAGCAGCCCGCTCCGAACGCTCCCTCCGTCCCCAGTGCCGCTCTGCTTCGCATAAAAGCTGTTTCGGTCGCCAGGAATAGCGGGAGCGACACCAGTAGCCGAGTATATACTAGTGCGTTCGGCGTTGGCTATACGCGAGCTGCTTTGGTAAAGCCCCGGAGTTGTCGGCATTCCCGCGCCCTGTTCGATGTTGGCGCTTAGGACGCTCAGAGGAAGGCTTTCCCGACTGCCGCCCCATAGGGAGGAAGGGGCCAAGGCACGGACAGAGGCATCGGTATCTAACGAGCGACGGCGACGGCGTTGCGACGAAGAAGCAAGGGTAATGATGGATGCGTTGTCGGTAAGCAAGTTGTTGGCCGTGGCCGTCGTATATGTTTGAGGATTGCCAGAGGCCGACCCCGCAGGCGCAAGATGAGCGGGGATGGCAGACGCGGGCGGTGCAGTTGGGAATGGTTGGTTGAAATGGATCGATTGGGTGTGACCCTGGTGCGATGTGTGATTGCCGTTGTTGGTCGGGTTCGTTGGGACATGGGTGCCGCCGTTATTTGGCGTCATGGACTGTATCGTGGTCAAGGTGGTCGTCAATGACCGCACTGACGGTGCTGGGGATGAAAATGTGCTGTCTCCTCCTCTGCGAGACTCAACACCGCCAATCGTTCGACTCGTCCCGGCTACAGATGGAGCGCCGTGGGAAGGGGCGACTACGGAATGGGCGCTATCGTGATCAGTGGAAATCGTGGGGGCCATGGACCTTGCGCCGGCGGTGGGTGGGGCGCGGCCATCTTCCGAGGACATTCGAGAAGACATGCGAGAGGATCGTTCGATGGAAGTTGCGCTCCCGCTCAGAGCGGTTGAGAATGAATAGGAGCTGGTCTCGATGTCGACATCGGCATGGCTGGCGGAGCCTACTCGGCCTGACTGGGGATAGGGGTTATTGTTCTTGGAGGCTCGCATCTTTGCGTGAAGTTTCGCCTGTTGGCGCTTGGAGCTGGGAAGGCGAACGCCACCTCCATCGCTAGAGGATGAGCTCTTGAAGTTGGTGAGCTTCTTGACCCATGTGGAGAAGGGGCGGCGGCGACCTGCACGATCAGGGCGATCTACTATATTGTCAGTGTCTTGTGCGGTTGAGGCGATTGGCCATCCGGCGCGGGCTGGAACTGCTGCCGAAGGATTGCGCCTTGTGCAGACGGCAGCCGCGGCGACAAAGCAGATGCGGACAGAAGGTAGGTTGTAATTACCGTGCGGCTGCAGCGCGGCCTCGGTTGTAGCCATTCGGTCGTCTTGCAGGGCTAGTCTTGTCGCAGGAGAGAGTCTGCCGGGAATCGTTCAGAAAGGGGTATCGGTGGAGGAACTTGAATGGTGAGATACGGCGAAAATGAGGCGGTAAATGGAAGTTGGACGTGCGACTCAAGTTGGAGAAACGAGCGGGCGTTCGAATGAGCGTGCAGGAGGGAGGTAAAGAGAAGCGTCAGTCGATGGAAGGAAGCGTCGGGGTTTCGGGAATGAAATGGATGAGTCGGGAAGGTCGAAGGAATGTGAGCAAAATGCGGTGGTCGGAGATCGGGACGAGAGCAAGGTGTGCGGTGTGTCGAGGTGAGAGTGGCTAGGTCGAGATGGAGAATGGGAGGAGCGAGAGCAAAGAATGAGAATGAGAATGGAGATGGAAATGGAAATGGAAATGGGACTGGAAACGGAATACTGAAAGTGGGATGGGAAAGAGCCAAAGGCAATGAATGCAAATGGCAGCGGTAGCGGCAGCACCCAAGGTACCAGGCCTTACTGCGCAGCGTAAGGTAGCAGGGGCAGCACTTCAAAGCCCAGTGGAGGGCGTCAGGGAAAGAGGGAACCTAAGGTACCTTAATACTAGGTGGGCTGCGAAAGGTAACCAGAACGGGTTGGGTTGATGGGGGACCAAGGCGTGGAGCTGAGTGGACCGCAAAGCCCCAGCCCAGACGCCCCAGGCGCTGCCCACCATCGCTGCCCAGCCCGGCCTATCTTTTCTTACGACTTTCTCTTGTAACAAGTCGTACGTTGGACAGTCTCTTTCAGCTTCGTTTGTTTGAGTACTTGATTAGGCACAATACTAGAAGCTACCCTAGGAACACTCGTAAGGTAGGTATGCGCTTTTATCCATCCTACCAGTGCTCGGACGGCATACACTTTCTTTCAATGTTGAATACGACCACACGACAACAACACAATCGAGGTGGGTGACACCCAACATCCAGCCCACGCAACCACGCACCCACGGCAAGGTCCACGTCCCGCCTGCGCCGCCCTACGGTCGATCAGCAGCATATCAGTGGTCCACGGCCGAAGCCATCTTTGGAGACTGTGAGACCTTGGGGGTCGCTCCCGCCCACCTCCACTCCCCCCCTAGTCTGCCAACTGCCCGCTAGGTTGGAAGCGCCCAATTGCTGTCTGGAACTGATGCCATCGGCTTGGTCGGTAACGTTAGTTCATCCATCATTTCTTGCCCAAGATTCAAAGAGATTACCTAGGGGACGGCATCTGAACTGAGTGAGCCCAGAGCCTTTGTTAACTTGACGATGGAGGACGGTGCTATTCAAACAAGCGCAACGCGATAAAGCCAAGGTACTTAATTTAAGCCAGTGCTGGAATTGACGAAATTGGACCACTTGGTGCTATCCGTCCCGACCCAAGCGGAGACTGTCGCCTTCTAGCACTTCAGTCTTCTGATCATCGATGTCTTTCAAAGAGCTCGACTGGGATCACTGCAAGGTCCCCCGGAAGCGTGGACCCTTAAATCCCATTGAAAACACCGCCAATTGGTGTGGGCTTCATTACTTGCTTACAGATACTTGTTGCTGATTGCTGCAAATCAATCCGTCAGGTCGCATTATGTCATCATCATCTGTGCGGTCACTGTGGTGGGCACTCACCAGCCATCCGATGTGTGATGTCACTCTCTGAATCTTTTTGCAGACGGGACTCTTTACCTTCCAACTGTCGAATCTACCTCGATATATCCGTATCCCGCCGGGAGGTAAACGTTCCCAGCACATTTTCGAGACGCGATGGCCACCTCGAGACAAAAGTTGGTGTGTTCGTATCTCCAACAGGCCAGGCATCCCATCCTCGTGGCTACCCTTTCGACGTTGGGAACAAGGAAGACAGGGATCACGTGTAAGACAACCAATATTACACAATAACCATCAGCCACCTTGCTCCTCAACATCAGACGGCAGCTTGAGCTTTTGTCTTGATTCTGAACCCCCGCACTTTTGCAGTCCTCCAATCTAGGTAACTTGGCTATTCGATACCAATATCTCGATTCTCAAACATACCTCAATCGTAGGAGAGAAGCGCACATTGCACTCCGGGTTAATGTTCAAGATCTGGCAGCATCGCATTCCAGGAGACAGTCGCCATCGAGTGCCTACACATACTGATACTGACCTTGCCATGAAGTCGTCCTCAGCCCCATTCCCAACCTCCCTCGACCCCCGTTCGCAACTTTGTAAGCCACGGCCAAAGCTCTCAGCTCGCTTGTCCGACGCTTCCCAAATCTAGTGCTCAAACTGAAACTCAAAAGACTCACATGGCGCCTTCCTGGTGTGGTTGGAAGCAGGGGCAGCCACACCTGAGGGCGTTGGGTCGTCCGCTACCTGTCTTATCTTATCTTATCTTATCTTATCAGAAGCCATCTTTTTATCGCTGTCTTATCGCCGCTCCTGACGTCGCCTTCTTTTTAGTGCACAAGTTCCGACCTGAGACCAGCAGAAGTTGACATCGTTGGTTTAATCGACAAAACACTGGTAGGCAGCTGCCATAGCCGTGTAAATCAGCAACTGCCGACATCCATGCACGTACGCAGCCATCCCCGGTGGCTCATCCTGACGCGTCTCGTCGATATGGCGCCTTGATTCCCCCAACCGCCGTCATGTCCATCAAGCCCTTGCCAGAGGACGTCATCCGCCGCATCAGGTCCTCAGCCACAGTCACGTCTCTCAACGGCGTCGTATGCGCTCTCGTCAAGAACTCCCTCGATGCCGGAGCCACAAGGGTCAACGTTACTATCGACTACTCCCGTGGCAATTGCACGGTCGATGACGATGGGTTAGGCATTCTACCCCTGGAGTTTCGAGAGAATGGTGGACTGGTCAAGCAGCATCGTGAGCTACATATACTCATCTTAGCGTGCACTTGCTAAAACATCTTCAGATACATCAAGACTCTCACCCGAGATAGACTGCCACGGCATCAACGGAAACTTTCTAGCCTCTGTTGCCGCTCTGTCTCTGCTCTCCATCACCTCCCACCACCATCTCCACAACTCGCAAAACTCAGTCACCATGCACAACTCAAAGGTCTTGGCACGCAATATCCCTGCCCTACCGGAGCAACGCCTAGTGACCTTCAGCCATGGAACCCGCGTCACCGTTAGAGACTTGTTCGGCTCCATGGCCGTCAGAGTCAAGCAGAGAGCTGCAGCCTCAGAAAAAGTCGCAGTGGACAAGGAATGGGGCCGATTACTGCATGACCTGACTGCTCTGTTGCTAGCCTGGCCTTCGAGCGTTACTCTCTACGCCCGAGACAGTGTCAACAACAACGAGACACGCTTCAGGCCCAACACAACACCCAAGTCGGACATGGTAACTCGGTCATCACGCACCCTGACACAATCAGGTCTCGTGGACGGCTTGGACCAAATAGTCTGGACTTCCATCGGCGCATCTGTTGGGAAGTTGACCATTGCAGGATGCATAGCGCTGAAGCCCGTGGCCACACGTCGAGCTCAATTCATCAGCTTCGGTATCCATCCCGTGTCTAATGAGCACGGAACCAACATCCTGTACAATGAGGTCAATCGTGTCTTTGTCAATTCGGGTTTTGCTATAGAGGAGGACGCGGATGCCCCAAGCGATTCGCCCGATGTCCTTCTTCCAGGTTCAAAGGGAACTCCGGCAAAGATTGCCAAGCCGAGGCGAGGCTTGGATCGGTGGCCAATGTTCTACTTTCAAATCAGCTCTTCGTCCCGTGCACGTCCTCTCGTAGCTTCATCTTTCGAAGACCTACTTGAGGAGCGGGACCACACCCTGGCGAACATGATTGACCTGCTCAAACTTGTCTCTTACGAGTTCTTGAAGAAGCATCATTTCCGACCCCACAAAGTCACTACTTCTCTTCAGGGCTCTTCTCGTAACAAGCATCAAGGAGATGATTCTCGTAGTACAGAAGGGAGGCGCAAAGGCAGCCGGTCGCGGACAGTCTCGTCGACGACCAGTCGATCGAACTCAGCTACCCCGCTGTCGAGGCCAGAGTCCCCTTTTGATCTCTGGCAACGAGTGAAGGTAGGACGGGCATCTGGAGGCACCTCGAAATCGGGAGCATCAACTCCCCTGTCCTCAGAGGCCGCTTTAGGAGCCACCATCAGACACACTGCGGAACAAGAGTTGGGTGAGGACATTACGAAACCTCAGCCTAGCTTGCGGTACCTCGACGAGTCCGGGAATCTTCTGCGAAAGCCCTTTGATGATTTGACGCCGAAATCTTCGCCAAAGCAAGACGAAGCTGGCAAACGTCCCGGTGCTACAAATGAGCCTGCTGGACAATCTCAGCCTTGCACGCGGTCATCGGTTGAGGTAGAGGAAGATCAATTCAATCCATCTTCGGCAAAGCCTGATGACAATGGGGAAGTAAGAGGCCATCTCAACTTGCTGCCTTCTTCTTCTCGATTTTTCAAGCCGAGTGGTGACCGAAAACCTCAACCGCCGAGCGACAGGCTCAGGGGGATTCTTTCAAAATGGGAGAACCCCGTCTTCCAGCCTGTCGACCCCCCAGTACCTCAATTCAATGGTCCAGTGGCAGGACAAAAGCAGGGCCTGATTCATTCCCTCGATCTTGACACCACTGGATGTTCACACGGAGCCCACACATCGAATATCAAGCTGTCTGGTCGAGTCTCCAAAGCTGCTTTGATGGAAGCAGAAATCGTCTCCCAGGTTGACAGCAAATTTATTCTGGTGAAACTCAGACGAGATCTGATTTCTGGCGGAAACCTGCGAGACATTCAAACGAATTCCGTACTAGTCTTGATCGATCAACACGCTGCAGACGAGAGATGTCGACTCGAGTCGCTGATGCGGGACTATTTTTACACTGCGAATCGCCAGAAAGAGGTACTTGCACAGACGGAGGCTCTTGAAAAGCCCTTGCAGTTCGAGTTCTCGTCCAAGGAGTGCAGACTGCTGCACAAATACGTCCACCATCTACGCCGATGGGGTGTATTCTACAACATTGATGAACCTGAGCCGACAGACTGGCGGCACAGAAGAAGGCAGCTCCCCCAGGTGTACGTGTTCAGCCTGCCACCCAGCATCCTCGAGCGATGCAGATCAGAGCCGAAATTGCTCGCAGACCTTCTTCGGCACGAAATATGGAAAGCAGAGGAAGACGGCAGCCCAACTTCCAGGCCATTCAGTTTCGCTGCTGGGAGTAGCAGTCAAGAGGTCGACTGGGTATCGAACTTTCACGGATGTCCTCAAGGGATCCTCGACTTGCTCAATTCGAGATCCTGCCGCAGTAAGTTTCGATTCTAATATGTGACAAATTATGATGCTAACTCGAGTAGGCGCCATCATGTTTAATGATGTCTTGTCCAGGGACGAATGCGAGGCTCTTGTTCGCAGGCTCAGTCGGTGCTCGTTTCCATTTCAGTGCGCACATGGACGACCATCCATGGTGCCGTTGGTGGATACGAGAAGCTTGGTGATGAAAGAAGAGACGCCGCTGGGAAGCTTTGGGAGCTGTCTCAGAGACTCTGGCTTGTTGAAGTGAAAGTGCCCTTGCGAAATGTGGCGCTATGGAGAATAGTCATCTGAGAACTGAGATACCCCGAAGCGAGTGTTTACTAAAAGAAGAAGGAATATAAGATGAAAATATCCATCATTGACCGTCGTCAATGGGTCTAAAGCGGAGTTCCCCATCTGAGGTATGTCTCTTCGGGATGCCATTTCAGTCGCAGTGGAATGTGTGCTCAATGCTTCACACTATTGGTATTTCCGGTGAGTTCGAGCTCTTGTTCGTATTCTTCATCGGGGTGAAAAGCTAACTCTGGCATTTATTCGACAAACAGAGTTTCCCACTCATGTGTCTTGACATTGCTCGATTTGACTGCTTCTCCCTGCATCACACCATGGACATATGCACCTCCTACCAGCCGGTGATGGCTTGGCCCTTTCTTCCGGAATATTAATGGTACACGTGAGCCAGGAACGATCCAGATTGATTCATTCATCTGAAGACACTCTGAACCAAGCCCGATGAAGCCTCCAGACGTCTCAAAGAGCCTCAGATGCAACCCATGGGAGAATGCGGTATTGTAGTCTTCCATCCCAGGAGCTGGCGGCATAGATTGGCTCAAACGACGAAACTGGGCAATCATGGCCGCCATTTGAGCATCCTCTCCGCCTTTTGGACCTTTAGATGTCGCATCAAGCCTCTCTGTAATCCAGTGCACAAAGGCCCCCTTGTATCTCTCATCTATCGGACACTGCGGCGGGTCACCTCCGGTGTTGGTCACTAGAGAGCGCCAGACTGCATCCAACACTCCCTCATCCACGCGAGAGTCCTCCCCCGTCAGGATCTTCATCAACGTCGGGAATGGTGCGCCAAAGTAGATCTCGTGCTTCGTCTCAGCAGCAACCCGAACCACGTCAATCTTCAACGCACGCATCTCCAACACCCTCAAGACTCACGAATCACCAGCGTCCGCGGCAGCCCCCCAGAGGCATCAAACCGGCGGTACCCGGTAACCCGCAACCCCAACGCCTTATCGCACCGCCAATCCGGCACCCAAGACGGCAGCGCGGCATCTCGGAACTTGTCCCCCTCGACGCAGTACAGCAGGAAAAAGTCGTCGGTATCCTCCAGGATCTGCACGGCGGCGGCGACGTAGACGGATTCCACGGTGACCTCGTCGCCGTACAGGGGCCGCCGCCGCCCAGCCCCACGAGACCAAAGAGCGCGTAGACTTTATCCCGCGGGTCCGTGGCGCGGAAGTGTCACGTGCGTACCAGCGCGTGCGCGAGGGCGGAGGCGTAGTTGTTGCCCTCGAGGCGGTCGCGGGAGGCTTTGTTCGCCTTTAGGATCGTGGGGACGTTGTGGTGGCAGGCGCCCGGGTGGTGTCTCGCAGGAGGCTGGTGGAGGAGAAGTGGGAGGACCAGGACGTGGTGGAGAAGAAGTGGGAGACGGATTCGAGGTGCGTCCACGAGGTTGTTTGGCCGCCGCAGAGGACGGTGGCGGAGCGCGCGAGGACGACTTCTTGGATGATCCACGATCTGCAAAAGTAGTTGCGCCGGAAGGGGGTTCGGACGGCGTCCCAGGATGTGGGGTCGCGGAGGATGTCGTCGTCGTCGCCGCCGCCTCCGCGTTCCCGTGAGAGCGGGCTTTGGGCTATGCTTTGCGGAGTTAGTCTGGCCAGGTGTCGTGCGTCTATCGTCGTGAGGTGGTGTATCAGGCGTAGCGCCTTTGCCGTGTGGTCGTCTTCCTCGCCCAGCCAGATTAGCACGCAAAAGGCAGAGCTGTAGATGCTCGCCATGAGCTGGACCTGCCTCGAGCGCTCCGCATCGTCGGTCTGGTTGATGGAGATGGCATCGATCCAGAACTTTTTGCTCGCGAGCTCTGGGTTGTCTCGTATCCGCAAGGTTGTGCGTGATGAGGATGGCATGGCCGTTGCAGGTGATGCTGGTGGCGGGCCTGTCGTCGGCTTCTTGGACGGTGGCCGGGCCCCAGGTGTATGAGAGGGCGTGGTAGGGTGTCGAGTCGTTGAGGCTGGATACGTGGAGAGAGCAACTGAGGCTGTCAGGGTTGTCGTCATTGCCTTTGGCTTGGATTGTGATGAGGCGGATGTCGTTGGCGGCCAAGGGTAAAGCGGGGTAGATTGAAGACGGGATTTGTGTGTGGATTTCGCTCACTTTTTCAATCGTGATTGACATCTTTTTTTTTTCTTTTTTCTTTCCTCTAAAGATCTGTGTAAATTATTCAGAGGTTTGGACTTTTATGGGTGCTCATCATGATGAAGCCATTGTCCAGGCATTCGAAACTCATATCACCAAGGCAGATCTCGAGGCGGACACGGTGAATTGAGGGGCTTGCTTGTACTAATAACGCCGTCAGAGTTTAGACCAGATCGGGACCGGTAACTTGCTCAGCCTCGAAAGCCTTGTTCAGACTCCACGGGTATTAATTACCTATTTCTTCAAGCTAGTCCCCTCGAAACCCCCCAGCCCAAGGGACTTGTCGTCTTTTTCATCTTTACATCAAACTTTGAGCCCCTTGGGTTGCATATATATACCGTTACGTTTGCCTTTCAGCTCATGCTCCCCCAGAGCCTCTTCCCCGCACTCCTCGCCGCAACCAAAATGGCCGCCCCAACGTCCGACCTCTGCCGATATAGATTCACAATCCTGCCTGAGTACTTTGTGGACTACTACAAGATCGCCGATGCCAGTCCAAACGGGAAAGCAACCACGCAGCCAGGCCTCGGGCTCCTCGACAAGACCTTTGGCGACGCGGCTGCTGATGGTGACGGCGACGTAGTAATAGCCGAGGGTGGTGGTGGTGGTGCCAGGCCCTGGGAGCGATTCGCCTCTCATGTGAGGAAGCTTAACGCTGCGAGCCCCGACGGTGTGGACTACAAGGTCTTGTACCTGACGAGGCATGGCCTCGGATACCACAACGTCCAAGCAGCAAAGGTCGGGACGGCTGAGTGGGATGTGAGTCTTTTTTTTTTGGAGCCTGCTCTCCTGGACCTTGATGAGACCGAAGAAATTTGACAAGGGCGTGCAGAGATACTGGTCCCACCTCGACGGCGATGGCGTCGTGACATGGCTCGACGCAGAGCTCGTCGACACAGGCATCCAGCAGGCAAAAGACCTAAGCACCTTCTGGGCGCGCGCAAGCTCCACCTCCACCTCCACCTCCACCGCCGGGGGCGAAGGCGAAGGCGACGGCGTCCCCTTCCCGGAATCCTTCTACACCAGCCCCCTCCGCCGGTGCCTCGAAACGAGCAACCTCGCCTTTGGGCCCCTCGTCGAAGCCAAAGGGGGCCGGGAATTCCGACCCCTCATCAAGGAAGGGCTGAGGGAGCGCATGACGGACCACACGTGCGACAAGCGGAGTCCGCGGAGCTGGATCGAGGGCGCCTATCCGCGGTACCGTTTCGAGCCTGGGTTCACGGAGGAGGATCGGCTTTGGAGGGCTGATCGGTTTGAGACGACGGAGGAGCATGTCGCGAGGAAGCAGGCGGTGCTGGAGGAGATTTTCGCGACGGATCCGGCCGTGTTTGTGTCGTTGACTGTGCATTCGTATGCTATTTCGACGATATTGAGGGTGGGTGGGCAGGAGGAGTTCAGGGTGAGGGAGGGGTCTTCTATTGCTTTGTTGGTTCGTGGGCATAGAGTAGGTGAGTAGGCAGGTGAGTAGTCAATTGAACGAATTCCTCTGTACTTTTACACACTTACCTTTGTTTCTATTACTGCCTCTGCCCCTAGTCTTCCTGTTTCTTACCCAAAGTATCTTGATTTCTGAATATTCCTTGGAGAATAGAGTTCAAGAAGCGAAGTAAGATGGTAACTATAAGTGAGATGACCTTCTCTGTTCAATGTTGCCATGACTTGAAGACTTCCGCTAATACTGAAGTACATTATATAATCGTGCCTAGCCCCTCCATTCACTACACGTTCTTCTCATCTTGCGGAAGCCGCAGAGCCTTCTCAACATCGAGAACGATGCGCCAGAGTAGATGCCGTGAAGCAGTGCGCCATGTCAAGTGATGAGATAAGTCAGTAGTAGTGCCACGTAGGGTAATCTGAGGCGACTGTCATTCGAATCTAACAATCTGTCTAAAAACTCCCATTCTCTGCAATTCCCGGCCACGTTGAAATCCCTTGAGTTCCGATATCGACGTCTGCCTACCCCCTCCCCCCTAATCAATGAACCAGCTGAGGCCGTGTACCTGATACTTGCGTCCGAAGCTGTCAGTGGTGGGAATGTATGTATGAGTGATCCAAAAAATCCTCATGGAACCTCATGTGCAACCCCTCCCGGGTAGGTAGCTGCCATAAAACACGCCTCGTTCGTCTAGTTGGTTGTGGCGGGTCTCCAATCCTTCGCCGCATGTGCATACAGGAAGTCTTTGTATCCTCTGTCGAGGAAGCTCGCAATCACAGCTCGCCATTCTCCACTGTCGGGAACAAGGTAAAGATCGCACGCCTTTCCTAGGCCTTCGTCCATTTGGCGAGCCGTAGTCTCCATGATGCGCATGTTATTGAAGAAGGCGAGAGTGATGTACTCCCCTGTAGATACACGTCGGGATTGGATGAGTCATTCATCTGATAATTGCCCGCTTGATAGCCGTGGGCGATGAAGGGCTGCTGTTCATTGATGCTGGGCACAGCGGCGGTCTTCTTGTTGGCAGCAGTACGCTTGCTAGCGGCGGTTCTCTCGCCAGCACCGAGGTCTCCATCACCGCTGTGCGCGGATCGGATCCAAGCTTCCATTGGTATAACAAATGGTTGCTTGAACTCAATGTTCAACACAACTTTGCTCAGTTCTTCGTCAATGGTCATGCCCATCTTCGTACCTTTGCGAAACTCCATGTCGCATCGCAAAGTGTTGGATCTCTGAGCAGTCGGCAGAAAAGATGGATCCGGAAGGCGGTACGGGCACTTACAAACGGCCCTTTCACTTATATACCACTTCTGGGAGATCGTGGGCTCTGCCCACAATCTCCTCCTTCCACCTCTAGACGCAGCAATAATAGACCATTATTGACACTTCGTTCCAACCGTAAGGTTGCCCTGCTGACGTGTATACCAACACAAAGTGTACTTGAAATTCTCTCCAGCGAGAACTTTTCTCTTGGCTCTATCGCGCTTGGCCTTCGCGACAACCGTGGCAGTATGCTCGCAAAGAGTCTGAAGGTCTGTAGGGCGCTTGTATAGCCTGTGTTCGGGTTTGTTGACAGGTATGTGGATTGCTTGGTATCCAGATGCGACACCGGCGAAGACGTCTTTGTACAGCCATTTTGTCAACATATCCTCGTTGTGGATGACGAAGGCAGGATCTTTGGGGGGCCGTTGAGTCTGACCAAAGTCCGTGCCATAGAAGTGGCCCGCGTCTCGTGCTGTTTTGAAGAGAGCAGTTCCCTCTCTGACGAGGTCGGCTGGGTCGCAAAGTATCAAGTCGAAGTCAATCTCGAGTTGGGCGACGGATTCGCTAGCCTTATGGGTATACGTCTTCCGTTCGCTTTCGGCTGGGGGATTCTGTGGTAAATGGTAGTTGAGATTGTCGCACTGGATGATAGCATCCAGGAGGAGGGGGGATTGTGCTATCGTGAGGCGATTCGGCTTTCTGGCAGCAGTACTGGTGACTAGGCCAAGTCGTCGTCGGGGTTGTAGAGAAACGCTGATATCGGCTTGAATTATTTCAAATACCAAAAGCGGTGTGCTGTAGTACGGGTCAGGTAAATTGACATAATCTTGAGAATTGTAGTTGGGATGTGTTTAAGGATGAGATATAAACACAAGGAACCGTGAATCATCTCTACCTACCTGAGGTGCTTCACCTTATTATTCCACAAGCCATCTCACCTTTCCACTTTGGAAGGTTCGAGGCCTGATTCTTTCCTCGCCGTCTAACTACAAAAGAACTTGACAATTGTCTTCCACCTCTCTCTTCACCTTGCGCCCTTTCCCCCTCGCACCTTTTTTACATTACGCTATCCTTCGTCTATGACTTTTCTTGTGGTGTTCGAGCCACGGCAACTATATCGCAACAAAGCTCAGCACTTTGCCTTTGCACATGGTCTCTCTCTCTCTATACTACTACTACTACTACTACTACTACTACTACTACTACTACTACTACTACTACTACTACTACTACTACTACTACTACTACTACTACTACTACTACTACTATTATCACTATCTTTTCTTCAAGTCCCCTTTTTGAGTATACTTCAAAGAATATTCTCAAGGCATCTTAACAAAATAGTGATAAGGACAATAGAGATGAAGATAGTGGTAATGACATGACAAAGGGGGTTACTTATTTGCCTACCGGTGGATCATTTAGTCGCCCTCTCACCACCTCTCTACCAAGTTCTGGTTATCTCACCCTCCCTCCAACAGTCTCTTCTAAGAGACAACTCCGGAGCCCTGCCACCACAAAGCATCTGATCCTTGAAGCGAACAAGGCTTCCACCACCTACCAGGCAACTACGCCTCCGTCTTCGCACATGCGCTGTTTCGCTCGTGACGCTTCTGGATCATGCACTTGCAGGATATCGAAGACTATGATATTGCATTCTCCCATAAACTGTACTCAAGGCTCTTTGAGACGTCTGAGAGCCTCATTAGAATAGGGTCAGAGTGTTCTCCAAGAAAAGTACTCAATGGAATGTCACTGGTTCACGTGTGCTATTAATCTTCTAGAAAAAAGAAGCCAAGTGTTCATCGGCTAATAAAAGCTGCGTACCATGAAGAGATAACGTACTTAATAAGCGAGCTGCCCACCTAACCATAATCACATTATAAATCTAACTAAGGAGCAACACTAAAAACATAAAAATCAATTGAAACTACTCTAAATCCTATTCCTCAGATATTTCTTCATTAAACTAACATATTCGCGTATTATGGCCAGTGTTTCCGCAGACGCCACATCGCCGTTAACTTATTTTTATCCTCGGCCGACAACCACTACTCTAGCGCATTTCCTCCTCAATCTAGGCCGTAGCCTCTCTCTACGACTAAATATCCTCTACCTCAGCTATAGTAAGACTTCCTCCTTGTCTGAGACGTGTTTTCTTAGCCCTCCTACGTCGGCTAAGTAGGTTATTTTCCTCCCGGAGGATCTAGGCCTCCGACCTTAATAAGGTAATCTGGTGTATAAATCCCCGCGCTCTCTTTAATAAATGCTCTATAGCTTTAATAATTAAAGTTAGGGAGCTATTCTGATGGCGGGAGATCCTCTTTTTAATGAGTTCGGACTGAGAAGAGGCCTCTGTTGGGTTATTTAGCGTCTGAGAAGTCCACGCGGGGGGTGTTGTTAGTAGGGACCCTGGGGGTATTGGAGTATATAACTTAACATTAAGCTTCGAAAGCACACTTTCGGCACTCAAAGGAACAAGCCCGGCCCCTCTGAAGCCTCCCTAGATGTTTTTTACTATTAGGGCTTGTATGAAAGCGTTATGAAATGTAGGGAAGAAGTCCTTCGTAATATGGGTATTACCCCGGCGCATCTTATCCTTAATTTGTCGACCATAAGCCGTCTTTAGTGGCCCAAAGCACCCAAAGTCTAAGGGTTAAAGTAGATGAGACGAATGGGCCGGTATGCAGAGTATAACGATATTGTTTTCCTTGCAATATATCTCAAAGTCCGTAGAGTGGTGACTTTCGTATCTATCGACGACGAGGAGGCGATAACTGCTAGTTATATGCGGTTTTGTATACTGATCAAAGTACTAGAGCCAGTCTAGGTCTCTTTCATTTATTGTCTATCCGTTTTCAGACGTTGCGATGACCTAGTCGCGTGGGAGATCTGTTTCTATATACTAGGTAGAGAGGTGATATTAGCCTACAACGATAATGTACGGCGGAACGCTATAGCCTAACGAACTGATGGCCTAAATAACTATAACCCATTCACGATTACCAGGCTACATCATTTTTGTGTTTAAACGCCTTTCGGCACTCGTAACGACCATCCCGGATACAATCTGGCCCATCATAAACCCAGTCTCGTCGAAGTTATAGATATCGGAGTCCATAATGCCGTATTTCGCAATTATGTTCGCCATAAACCGAAACTACGCATTTATCGCATCTAGATCTTCACATTAGGCCCTCTTATAATCGTATTTACAAAAAAAGCACGTCCAGAGCTATAGTTGTTATTTAACGAAGTTTGAAGCCCAGCGCTTCCCAACTGGGGGCGCATCGCAGTCGGCGAGCAATCGATTAGCCATTTCTTCCACACCACTGATCCGGGGAGGAAACGATCGGGAATCCAGGTCGAGGATATACTCAAATAGCTTCTCCTCTTCAAGCTCCGTCAATTTACGTAAGTTAGGTATAGTATCTTGTCGTGCAGGTGTGCCTTTGAATCGGGTACCTAGGGTCCTAGGGGGGACTAAATAGATTCTTGTTGCGGCTCGAATGCTGAGTTTAGGGTTTTTTTTAGATAGCATCGACTGCTAAGTTTAATTGGGCCTCTTTGCTTTATGACGACATGATTATTTGTGGCGTGATACGCATTAGAAGTGAGGAGGAAGGATGAACGCGGTTGGGTGGGCAGCTCGCTTGTCTGGGCAGCTCGCTTATCAAGTACGTTATAGGAAGAAGAGTGCAGATGTAACTTCCGCCAAGTTGAGCAAATCGATGTTGCTCAGCCTATGCGCTCTTTGGTCTCGTCTGATTATTAGAAATGTCCCATGATGATGGGTCGGAATTCCTGGCCCTTGGATTCGACGAGGGGCCTGAAGGCGAGGTTGCTCAGTTCGAGGCACCGGCGCAGAGGGCTAGTGCACAAGGTTTCTGGTGATGGGACGGCTTCACCTTTGCCTTCTCCCTTGGCGGTGGTGGAGGTGGAGGTTGCGGCAAAGCCTTTGGCCGCGGGAGAAGTAAGAAAACGTTCCAGTCGCTAGGCGGCTTGATACCGTGGCCATGTGGCATTGGCGGCCGGCTGCGACATGAACTTGGCCCGGCTGTTTGGTAGCGTTAGCAAGTGCGGATATTCGTGTACGATATCCGTGGTTTGTTCAACGGTTTGTACATGGCAATGCCGGCCGCATTGATAGAGACTTGGAGAGATGTTCCTAATCCGTGAGTAAGTGCACCGGGCCG